CAATGAACTGCATTTTGATACCACATCTCTACAGAAAAATGGCCCGAGTTAGTCACCAGTTGTACGTACTATCCCCATGTATATTCCCATAGAAAGTCACCAGTTATAACATGTTATTCAAACCCCATCTATAGAATGTATAATCCCATAGAAATAACCAGTTATCACTCATTTTTATGGCCATGATACATCTCCATTTGGATGGTACCATCGGCGCAGGTTCCTTCCGCTCCCAAGGCGGCGCCCAAGGCAAACACTGCAAGCCAAGGCGGTGGACGTTTTTTGGTTGCTACGCTACATGTTTTCGCTAAAATAGAAACGACAAAAACAAAGGGATTTTTAAGGGATCATTTGATGTTTTTTCGGCCATGAAAAGTGGATCAGCAATGGCATTATGGCCATATGGCAGGCCCAACACTTTGAGATGTTGGGATTTCATAAATTGACAGGGACATGTCTGATACCTGCTAGATATTAAGGTGTTTTGGGGTATCCACAAGGTATCCATGATTTGCGATGTGTAATGACAAAAAATATTGGAAGAGCCGTTGGCAATCAGGGAATGATTCTCTATCCCCGGAGCCACTCAGAGTCTACTCAAGTCCACTCTTCTCCATATAACTTCATGTGATTTATCTACCTAAATATCTAGATCTCCGTAGATTTATGCGTATTTGCCCATATAAATATGAATTCTTTGATATTCTTTGTATGTAGATGACTCAGCTTAGATAATATGCGAAGCAAACTAATCAATGCACTCTACCTTTGTAAACAAAACCAAAACGCTCTTGGGTCATATTGGGATGGATCAAGTCAAAACCTATAGACATTTTCAGATATAAGGGACTCATCATCATTCAACATCCATAAAGCAGCTAGGTTTTGATCCATCCCCATTTGTGTGCACCAGGTGATGCTGTTGGCGCCACCGCCGAGGGGCTCAGGGATATGGGGGGTAGCCCCATGACTAAACGGAAACCTCTGATACAAAGAAAAAAAAATCCTGAAGTAGACATAGCCATGGAAAATCACAATTTTTAATAGGTAAACCAACTATAAATGGGGTAGACAGAATATACCATCTGGTTATGACTAACATAGCGAACTGGAAAGATCCACCATTTTTTAGTTCGGAAAACCAACTATTTCGATTAGGGCCATGGCTTCCATGGCTATGTTAGTCATAACCAGAGGGTATGACATGTTCTAGAATAAATGTCCATTTTAGTGAGTGAGGATTTGTCAAAATGTCCATGTTCTACCTTCTCCAGGATGAGCATTCTGAAAAAGGTCACCGCCGTGGCTCCAAGTCCAGACTTTCCCAGCTAAGAATCCCGAAATCAAAACCACACAAAAGTGGCCATGCCTTCAACATGTTTCTTATATTTTCCTATGTTTACTGTTTATCTAGTCTTTTTCCCATATGTTTCTCATTTTTTCCCATGTTTTTCCCATCTTTTCCCTCTAAAAATGGCCCGAATTTCACTTGGCAAAGCACTTTTACCGGCGCCTAGGCCACCACCCCGAAGAGCTCGGCGCTGCCCAAGAGCTCCGCGCTGCCCACGGCGCCGCGACCGGGGCCGCCCAAGGCGCCCAAGGAACCGCCCAAGGAACCGCCCAAGGAACCGCCCATGAGCAAAATCACCATGGCCAAGGTGCGGAGCCCAGGAGCCGAGGCAGGAGCCGATGGCCATAGAAATTAGATGTTTTTTTTAGCAAAAAGATGGTGATTTTTTCAGCTATGTCAAATTACCAGAGGGTACATCATGTGGCTTCTATGATGATGGATATATATAGGTATATATATATATAGGTATAGGGATCATTTTTTTGGGGCACATGATTTGGAATTATGAATCATATATAGCTGATAATCTCCAATTTCAAGATATAGGGGTTATGAGACTCAAACAAAAGAAGCAACGCATTCTTGTGAATCTAAAGCAACTTATAATCTGCTTGGGCTTGGGAGGTTGGAGGATCCTTAGCCACAGTTCTTCATATGGTTTCATATGGGTTCCATATCTTACATACAGGGATGATGTAGATTGATCTAGGGCAAAAAAACACTTACTACTTGGAGGATCCTTAGCCAAGGATCGTAACTGCTGATCGTAGTGTCCCCCTGGTGATAGTGTTGCATCATGTTGCATCCTCGATTTGGAAGTGGATTGGGACCCATCGATAAATGGATGAACTAAATGTGGTTCTTAAGCACTTAAGTGGGTGATCCTGAGCCAAAGGGGGACTGTCCCAAGAACTTCGGGCTGGGGGCCCCATGGGGGCCCCATGGGGGCCCCGGGGTTTCCAGGGCCTCCAATCACCACCCGATCACCCCAGGCTGCCTTGTCCAAGTCGGCTGGAATGATGGCCAAGGCGCAGCAGCCAAACCAGGTGGAAACAGCAACTGTGTTTTTTTTTGAGGAGTTTATGGTATAACCATACGTAGTTTTTTTTTTCCCATCGTTTTTGTGACTTTTTTTTAGTTTTCGAGCTACTTTTTTTTTTTTTCGACATGTTTCTTTTGATTTGTACTGATGTTGACGATTGATGACCAATGACTATTGAACTGTCGTTTTTTGGTATTTCATGGTGAATTTTCCGGGGAGGGCCATAGCTCCACAAGAATCCTCGCAGTGGCTGATCTGACATAACCCAGTTGGCAACTGGAACTGTGGTTGTGCCCCCGCGTTTTTGAAGGGATAGATATGGATGTGGGTCAAAATGGAAGACCTAGGGGACCACAGATGTTAGTCTAGTTTAGTATTAACCATCCAATTATTGGGGTACCTAATTTTGACCCATACCCATATGGAGACAGAATCCGAAAAAAAATCACACATTCTCCGCTGTACTTCAACACGGAACCCCGTGTTGATGATCATCCCAGCAAGGAATGCTTCAACTTGCTGTTGCCAGTGAAATCCCCAATCAATAGCCTCCTGAAGTTCCGCCCAGAGTTTGCTGTAGCGGAAATGGCCCACGTAGATCGATGATTTAGCACAATGTTAAATTAGATGATGTACCCAATATATGTTCCATATTTTACTTTGATGATGTAGCTATATTATTTTAACGTGGTGATTTTCCATCGCAAACTTCAGTTTGAGTTTCAATTCCCGAGGGTATCAAGAAAAAAGGTTGGATTTGCGGCCCGATGTCATGATTCATATCATGATCATGATCATGTCATGATCGAACATCGATATATTAATCCATGACAGCCGAAAAGGTGCCGAAGAGTTGGAATCCCGGAACTTATAGGGAAAACATCAATATCTCTCTCTCTCTATATGCGTGTGTATATATATAATGTATACACATCTATCTATCTATCCTATCCTATCCTATCCTACTGTATCTATCAATCAATCTATCACTATACCAATCCGGCCAGGCCACTGTCGCTAAGGCGCCACCCAAGGCGGTCATCGCCAAGGCCCCGGTTCTTTTTTTCCGCCAGGTCCCCACTTCTCCCAATTTGGAACTGGTTTATGATAACTATTAGTAACTAGTATATGTGTATATATATATATATACATGTATGTATGTATGATAATGAACACCTATTTTTGATGGGAGTTTATGATAACTGAGCAATGTTCAAAACCCCTGTTGGTTGATGATTGGGGATTATACTACCCTTTATATATTGGGGATTATAGTTAATAATCCAAGAACGTGAGATAAAATAGTAGTAGTAGTAGTAGCAGGAGCAGGAGCAGGAGCAGGAGCAGGAGTAGGAGTAGTAGTAGTAGTAGTAGTAGTAGTAGGAGTAGGAGTAGGAGTAGGAGTAGGAGTAGGAGTAGTAGTAGTAGTAGTAGTAGTAGCAGTAGCAGGAGGAGTAGTAGTAGTAGTAGTAGTAGTAGGAGTAGGAGTAGGAGTAGGAGTAGGAGTAGGAGTAGGAGTAGGAGTAGGAGTAGGAGTAGTAGTAGTAGTTGTTGTTGTTGTTGTTGTTGTACTGCCGCTCTGTGCCGCTCAGCCGGTCAGCGGCATGACCAGGTGACCGGCCGGCTGGGCCGGCCGGCCGGCTGACCGGGCTGACCGGGCCGGCCGACTGGCTGACCGGCTGACCGGCTTATACCGGGTGGCTGCCTGGGCGCTGGTCGGCTGACCGGGCGACCGGCCACCTGACCAGCTGACCGCACGACTGGCCGGCAAATGGAGCAACCGAGAGTGAATCCTAAAGAATCCAGGCTTGATTCGATCAGTCCTGAAGCATGGTTCCCGCGAGGCATCGCTGTGCTTAAATTTCAAATCGACCGGGCTTTCATTCATTTTCAAGGCGATGGAGATGTCCGCGTAGTTTCCCAGCTGCCGCCCGAAGGCGTTTGCATTCTGGGCCTCTTGACACAGCGCATGTATCATTTTGTGTTGCTTCAAGGGCGCAAGTTGGCTTTATCTTCCTCCCCGGCTATGGACCCAGAGGTGGCCAGTCATGGCGGTGGCAATGATTCCCAAAAATACTTTTTGGTTCATGTTTTATTTTTAAAGCGTTTTTTAAATTATGATGTCAAGATTTGGTTGTTATTTTTTATTTTTCGATTTGTTTTTGTTTTTAAATTTTCCTTTTTTTTGTTTTGTTAAAGATTGTTTTTTTTGTTTTTTTTTAATTGTTTTTTTCTGCTTGTGTTTGATTTTTTATTTTCTATTTCCTTTTTTGCAAGCTTTTTCATTTTTTCATTTGTTTTTTATTATTTTTTATTTTATTGTTTCTTTTTTTGTTTGTTTTTTTCTGATTTTTTGGTACTTTTCTGTATATTTATTTTGTTTTTTGTTTTTTTTTCGAATTTTTCTTTCAACATTTTTCGAATTTTTGAACTTTTTTGAATACCTTATTTTTTTGTGGAATTAGTTCTGTTTTTTCCGTTTTTTTTTGTTTATTTTTTGGGAATTTGTTTTGGAATGTGTGGATTTTTTCAGTTGTTTTTTGATGCTTTTCAAGTTTTGAGAATTTCCAGAATTTTCAGATTTTTTGTTCCAAGGAGTAGCCCTTTGAGGAGTATCCCAGGGCTCTTGAATGAATGTAGACACTTGCGTTCGACGGACTAATTTTTGATGTTGTTCTTTTGCTTTAAGTGTTGTTGCACCTTTGGGATGCCATCTATCTATCTATCTACCTATCTATCTAATTATCTACCTATCTATCTACCTATCTATCTACCTATCTATCTATGTATCTATCCATCTATCTATCTATCTACCTATCTACCTATCTATCTATCTGTCTATCTATCTATCTATCGATCTATCTAACTATCTATCTATCTATCTACCTATCTATCTATCTATCCATCTATCTATCCATCTATCTATCTACCTATCTATCTAACTATCTACCTATCTATCTACCTATCTATCTACCTATCTATCGATCTATCGATCTACGATCTATCCATCTATCTATCTATCTACCTATCTACCTATCTACCTATCTACCTATCTACCTATCTACCTATCTATCTATCTGTCTATCTATCTATCTATCGATCGATCGATCGATCTATCTATCTATCTACCTATCTATCTATCTATCTATCTATCCTGCCTATCCTGTCTATCCTATCTACCCTGTCCTATCCTATCCTGTCCTATCCTGTCCTATCCTGTCCTGTCCTACCCTATCCTATCCTATCCTATCCATCCTATCCATCCTATCCATCCTATCTATCCTGTCAACAGGGTTCCGAAGAAGGTTCCGGAGAAGGTCTGGGAGGCTTTGGTGCAAAGCCAGGTCAAGTTCAACAGGATTCCGGAGGAGGTGCCGGAGAAGGTTTGGGAGGCTGTGGTGCAGTGCCAGGTCAGGTTCAACAGGGTTCCGGAGAAGGTTACGGAGAAGGTTCCGGAGAAGGTTCCGGGATCAGGTTCAATAGGGTTTCGGAGCAGGTTCCGGAGAAGGTCTGGGAGGCTTGGGCTGCAGAGCCAGGTCAGGTTCCACAGGGTTCCGGAGAAAGTTCCGGAGAAGGTTTTGGGAATTTTTGGTGCAGGGTCAGGTCAGGTTCCAACAGGTTCAACAGGGTTTGGGTTCGCAGCACCCTTCACAAAGATTTGTAAAAATTCAACGTCGCGGCTGTTGGGGATACCACCGAAGCTTATTTTTTTCTCAAAATCTCGCCATGGACGAACGCTACAGGGATTACCTGCAGCAGCTGCCAGAAGTTCCTTTTTTCCAGCTGTGGGGCCTTGTCATTTTTTCAGGATGCTCGCGGGTCCGGCGGCCAGCGAGCAGCGGTCACCACCCCTTCCCGCTTTTTGTGAATAATCCTTAGACCAGAATACACTTGTATATACCCGGCTTAATCATTGCACAATGGGTTCCAAGTTTTGTCTCAGGGTTTCGTACCAGGACTACTCCAGACAGTGCTGCGGGCAGAAATTTGGGCGGCCATTTCGGCACTCACATGGGTCCTTGAAAATGGCACGCAGGCTATTCTTTGGGGATAATCAAGAGGTGCATACCAATTTGGAATCCTTCCGAAAAGGTTTCAACCCATGTAACAATGCTTGCAGTGATGATGATCTCTGGACACAGGCACACGAACTTTGCACACTTGCAGTCGAACGAAACCTCTTGATTAAGGTTGTGAAAGTCAAAGCCAAAGCACATGAAGATTCCATGAAATATTCAGACCCAATTGAGCAATGGGCACTCCGGGGCAACCATGCCGCAGATGGTGCCGCCAAAGCCGCGAGAACTTTGTTTCCACTACAATGTTGGCACGTTTGAAATGACCCGCGTATCGCCTATCAGACCAAACTGGAATGGCGCAAAGCGTCGTAAACTGTTTGTTGCGGTTGGCCAAATGGCCCAAATGACCAAGCACATTGACCCGGGCGCAGCTACGACACCTGCAGAGCAACCACCTCCAGAAAAAGAACACCACGACATCATTTTTGACACTTTTCCCATTTGGAGCGATAGGGATCCCACGATCCGGCTGGGCGGAGCGGGGCAGCCAGTTTTTGATTGGCTTCGCAATTTGGTTTCAGACGTTGAGGCGGTTCCGCAATGGGTTTCACCAGACCACACTGTTGAATACAAATTTTGTCAGAAGGCAACTTGGAGATTGCCCCTGTCAGACGAAGGCCAGCAGGGGCGGCTATCGCCATTTGGATTAGATGCTACTGGATGCGGATTTCGCCAGTGATGGTTAGCGGTATTGATGGGTTGTTTTTATCACACGTTGGCAGACCTATCACAAAGGTGGGTCGGCAACTCGAGGGCGGTCCCCGTTGTTTCACCAGCGAGGGATAACGATGCCTACTGAGAAACGGAGAAATGGAATGCCTCGAGCTGGAGGTGAAGGCGGCGAAGAGCGCTGCCTGGAACCTCGTCGAGGAGCTGGTGAAAGCAAGGGTCTCGCTCGACCAGGAAGACGGTGGCTTGGCGCAATACCAGCTGAAATTCTATAAAGCAGTATGCAAGAGCCCGTTTGACCCGATCTTGGCAACACATGGTGGGCCGTAAGTGGGAGTACCGTCAGGGCTTTGAAGGACTGCGCCACGTTAGTGTAGCTGTCGGCTCCAGACCCCTGATTGCCAGTGGATGACAAGGGTTTTCTGATTGTTGCTCAGTCAGGAGCGTTTTACACAAACAACAACATGATCCATTCCGGATACACAGCCTCCACGCGGTGTGGCTGGTGTGGGCATGAAGATTCAGTTGAGCATCGACACTGGCACTGCCCCAAGACGCAATTCAGCCGAGCCATGATCCCTTTAGATTTGCACCCGGCCATTGATGCATCCCCTGGTGTTTGCGCCAGCATGCATGGATGCCCGAACCAGCTGAGGTGCGAGCCTTTAAGGCTTTAAGGCTTCCTTGGGTCTGATTCCAGATGTCGTTGATCAGTGTGTTTCCTCAGTGCCTCAACAGTCCCATTACGACCTTTTTTGTGATGGAACGGGGAAGGATCCAGCGTGCCCTCCATGCCGCCTTCTTGCATGGAATGTGATTTTGGCAGGACGTGATTTGCAGCACAATCATGTCCCAATTGCATGGGGTGGACTCCCGGGATATTGGCAGACAGTCATTCGAGGTGAGCTGACAGCCTTTGTTGCAGCCTTGATATTTGGCAGGAGGACCGGGGCCCTGTGCCATTTGGTCGGACTGTGCCATGGTGATTGACAGGGCGCGACAAATACAATCTGGGTGGTTCACAGTTACATCAGCTTGCAGTGACCATGACCTGTGGTTGACTGTCCAGGACCTCTTGCCAGACCCTGCACAGTGTCAGTTGTATCACATCAAGTCGCATCAAAGTTATTCGGCAGCTGAGCCTTGGTTGAGATGGGCTATGTATGTATGTATGTATGTATGCATGCAATGTAATGTAATGTAATGTAATGCAATGTAATGTAATGTAATGTAATGTATGTAATGTATGCATGTATGTAATATATGTGATGTATGTATGTATGTATGTATGGTATTGTATTGTATTGTAATGTAATGTAATGTAATGTAATGTAATGGATGGATGGATGGATGGATGTATGTATGTATGTATGTATGTTATGTATGTGATGTATGTTATGTATGTTATGTATGTTATGTATGTTATGTTATGTATGTATGTAATGTAATGTAATGTGATGTAATGTAATGTAAAGTAAAGTAATGTAATGTAATGTAATGTATTGTATTGTATGTATTGTATGTATGTATGTATGTATGTATGTATGCATGCCTGTCTGCCTGTCTGTCTGTATGTATGTATGTATGTTGGTATGGTATGGTATGGTATGGTATGGTAAGGTAATGTAATGTAACGTAATGTAACGTAATGTATGTATGTATGTATGCATGGATGTATGTATGTATGTATGTATGTATGTATGTATGTAATGTATGTATGTAATGTATGTATGTATGTATGTATGTATGTATTCATGTATGTATGGAATGTATGAATGTATGTATGTATGTATGTATGTATTTATGTATGTATGTATGTATGTTGGTATGGTATGGTATGGCAAGGTAATGCAATGTAACGTAATGTAATGTAATGTAATATATTAGCTTTTTTTCAAGCCTCGTAAACAATGCTTTTAAAGCTCCAAGAGACGCGGTGAACGTAGGGGGTACGAGTGGCTAACGGACGTGGTGACGAACGTAAGGCGAACGAGTGAACGGACGAGTGCACGTGTGAGCGAACGAGTGAACGGACGTGTGCGTACAAGTGGACGGACGTGTGTGCGTACGTGCGTGCGTTTGCACGTTCACTGGCCGCGTGCGCGCGCACGTACGAAAATAAGGTCGACTGGAGTCGACCTTATTTCTGTACGTGCAAAGCGCTACAATACTAAGTCAATACTAAAGAGGCAGGGTCGTGCAAAAATAAGGTCGACTCAAGTCGACCTCATTTTCGTACGTGGGCGCGCGCGTGGCGAGTGACCGTGCAAACGCACGGACGTACGCTCACACGTTCGCTCGCACGTACGCTCACTCGTACATGCATACGTTCGCACGTACGTTCACTCGCACGCATGTCGTTCACACACACGTTCATACCCCCGTTCATGTCACTCGTCACTACACGTACGCTAGATAACAAAAATATTTTTACGAGACTTTAAAAAAGCTAAGTAATATATGTATGTATGTTTGTATGTATGTATGTATGTACATATGTATGTATGTATGTATGTATGTATGTAATGTATGTATGTATGTATTCATGTATGTATGTATGTATGTATGTATTCATGTATGTATGGAATGTATGTATGTAATGTATGTATGCATGTATGTATGTATGTATGTATGTATGTATGTATGTATGTTGGTATGGTATGGTATGGCAAGGTAATGCAATGTAACGCAATGTAATGTAATGTAATGTAATGTAATGTAATGTATGTATGTATGTATGTATGTATGTATGTAATGTATGTATGTATGTAATTAATGTATGTATGTATGTATGTACGTACGTACGTACGTATGTATGTATGTATGTATGTATGTTGGTATGTTGGTATGTTGGTATGTTGGTATGTTGGTATGGTATGGTATGGTATGGTAAGGTAAGGTAAGGTAATGTAATGTAATGTAATGTAATGTAATGTATGTAATGTATGTATGTAATGTATGTATGTAAAGTAAAGTAAAGTAAAGTAATTTAATGTAATGTAGTGTAATGTAATGTATGTATTGTATGTATGTATGTATGTCTGTATGTATGTATGTATGTATGGGTGGATGGATGTATGTACGTATGTACGTATGTATGTATGTATGTATGTATGCAATTAATGTATGATGCAGTTAATGTATGTAATGTATGTATGTATGTATGTACGTATGTATGTATGTATGTATGCAATTAATGTATGATGCAGTTAATGTATGTAATGTATGTATGTAATGTATGTATGTATGTATGTATGTATGTATGTATGTGTATAATATATATATATATAACTGTGGTAATCGAACATATTTTCAATGGGAAATCCCTGTCAAAAATGGAGGTTTACAGCTGGGAGAATCATCGAACTAAGAAACATTTGGGTGATCGGATGGGAACTGTGGCAATAACGCCCATAAGATGGAATATAAACCTGATATCTATAGTTTCCCCAAGTGACTATCTATTACTAATTCTGGTTAGATATAGTATGATTGTCCACTATACTAATATTAGTGGAACTGAACCCCAAACTCCCATGGTTTACGACTAGAAATGGCATGGAAATGGAAGATCATTGAAACGGATTTCGTGAGCAATGAGTAGTTTTTTGGTAGATACAACATCAAGATGGGATGGTTTCAAACGCAAATTGAATGAACCAAACTAGGAATTCAGCCAAACAAGGATTGGCAAACTGCTTCAAACGAGACTGACATCTGTGGTGTTTGGGAGTTGTTGAAACCTCAACATTTTGACCTACAGTGGATGGTTGCGAAATCTTGCACCAGTTTTTCGGAATGTGGTTTACCCATGTTTACCCCGTTCTTTATGGGGTTTCAACATGTTTCAACCATCGATGGTGCAGGTGCCGCCGAAGCAATTGCAGCAGCAGGTAAGGCCAGGGCCAACGGCCAGTAGGGAAACCCGAAGGAGTTCTTGGGATCATTGGGGGTTGGTTTTGGGAAACAAAACCTGAGGAAAACCATGGGGGGTTGGGTCGGGTTTTGAGCAGATTTTAGCATAAGAAAATGAGATGAACATCTAAATGCAAGGCGGGTTGTCGATTCTGCCTCCTCTGGGATGGTCATGGGGATGGGTCTCTCCACAATCCACGATGGCATGGTAAAAATTGCTCACATGCCAAGCCATCCTGGCATGTTTGGGATTGTTTTTTACCAGCGTACCAAGTGAAGAGTTGCTGGTTCCAGAGAAATGAGGTCAAAAATAGTGATATTCGCAAAGGATCTAGAGAAATGGGGGTCAACGAACAACATTTAGGATTGTTCACAAGTTCTTCCACCATTTTCTTCCAGTTTTCATGTTTTTTTCATCATTTTCACACCAAAAATCAGGATATTCTTGATAGTTTCTCCATTTTGTCCATCAATTTTCCGAAGTGTTCAGCATTTTTTCATCATTGTCATTCATTTAATTTTCAGCATTTCTCTTGTTTCGTCATTTTCCTCTTTATTTCACAACGATTTCCAACATTTTTCAAAAATCCGAATTTCTCCAAAACAACAACACATCACAATTTTTCGACAAAGTGCAGTCTTGGACCCTCCGAGGTTCAGGTCCACTGGACCCTGAAACCATTTTCTCAGCTTCAGAGACTTATGGTGACCATTTTCCCACCATTTTCCCATCATTTTCCCAGTTTTTTTCCCCTTTTCCCGGCCGCGTTTTCTGGTCCGAGTCCAAGGCACCTCCAAGGCCTCGCCGCCGGCTTCGCCCAACGAGAACGTGCCGGACGATGCACTGCGCGCCGTCTCGAACCGAACCGAAGTGTTTTTGGAGTTTCCAGATTTCACCCAGTGGGATTACCCTGGGATGTGGTTTTCCCATGAAAAATGGTGGTTTCATGGGATGGATACCACGAAATAAATGGTGATTTGATGGTGATTTACCCTTTGGTAAACATACACAAAGCTATTGAAAATGGTGATTTAGTTCGTGGATTTTCCCATGAAAAACGGGACGATTTTCCATAGTTACGTAAACGTTTACCAGAGGGTATGGGGAAGAATGGCACACGTGTTTTTTTTTGAGATGAGTCTAGAGGTTTGAATTCTTGCAAACGTATTTGAAAGGGTTTTTTGAAAAACTAGAAACCTCCAGGTTTGGTTGCTGGTTTCGGCAGATGGTTTTTCCAGGTACCAGCTGGTGGGGGAGCTCACGGAGGACGCTGGGTCCGCATGTTTCTGCGGGCCGATTGCCCTGGAAGCATCTGATCATCTCCTCTCTTGAAGGGAAGAGGGTCTCCCGAAGAATTTTCCCCCGAAACAAGGTAATAAATAGCTGCAACCCCCCAAATTCCAGCAGGTCAAACTGCTACACTTGGACCTTACATGAGCAGAAACTGATAAAAACTGGATTTATGTTTGCGAACATCTGATAACTCTGTCGTCTTCTTTCTTTCAAAAGATTGAAATGGACACTTCAGATTTTTATCCAAAGGGTCGGAAGATGTTGGAAGGTTTTCGGGCGAAAAACTAGGCCAGCTAGGCATAGGGTTTGGAATAGGAGATATCCTCTGGTAATTGAACATAGCAATGGACAATTCCCCAGTTATAGTTGATTTTCCCAGCTAGAAGCCCGCAATTTTTATAGGGGATCTTCCAGCAATCGCCACGTTTGAAGATTACTGGAGGGTACCCCAAAAGGCGAGGCTTTGGTCAATTGGAATCGGGACCAAAGGGCCCAAAGGCCCAAAGGCCTTCCCCAAATCCTAAAAGCTTCCATGGTCCGTTTGTCTGAAAAATTGGATCCAAAAAAATACCAGGGGGTATTTGTCAATCATCATGTATTTTCAGCATCAAAACGGCACTAACAGTCACTAACATGGTTTAGGTATCCCCATTTGGGTGTTTCTTAAAGGAGTTTTTTTTTTTGGCTTTTCTTTTAAAAATCAAGGAAGGGAGCCTGGACGACCACAAATAAAAAATGCCACCCAAAAAATGCCAACTTAATTTCGCCCCCTTTCTTAAAATTGGGATACCATAACATAATTGGCTTCCCCATGAACATGACCAAGTTGGGATGATAACTTGTCCCCCCCATGTTGAGAAACCCCTATATTTCAGAAATGCATGTTTGATGTTAAACCTTTGGTGAATACCTAGAATTTCTATGGGATATAGTTATGGATCCATAAGCGACAAAATAATGTCTTTTGTTGACACAGGTGATGGAAAGGTGATTTCACCAATAGAATGCGGGTCAATCACCACTTTCGATGCTTAACCCCCTTTGAAATCCAATTGTTGATGCTTAACTCGGCTCTCCATTTTTGTGGTCAACTCGTTCCCGAAAGGACCCTGTGGTTCAGGATGGTCTCATACTGGAGGACCGCTTGAACGAGGCGATCAAAAACAAAAAGGGCAGAGGAGGGATGTCATCAGCGAAGATTGGGGATTAACCAGTATATCAATTATTTATCCATCATACACACACATATAATATATATATATAATGTAATAATGTAACAATGATAATAATGATAATAACAGTAATGATAGTGATAATGATAATGATAATAATAGATAATAATAATTAATAATAATAGTAATAATGATAGTCATAATATATACATATATACTATATATATATTTATACATGTATAATGGATATGTATATATATATACATGTATAACGGACAATGGATTATATGTACATCGAATATAATATATAATATATTACTATACTTTTAAAACTTGATACATGGATTGCCCTCCTGCAATTGAACATAGCTATTGAACATGACCATTTATCGTTGATTAAAAAATGGTGATGTTCCATAGGTATGTCAGTTTTCCATGAACATGGGGATTAACCACTTATTGATTAGGTATAATGGATTATATATATATATATCAATGGTGAATAGCTGGATATCATATACAAGATGAATATAAGGGTTATCTAATGAATGAGGATTTACCCTCCCGGTAATCCGAAATCGGCAATGGAACATCCACCATTCAAAGCTCGATTTAGAGAGGATTTCCCATTGCCACATTTCATCACCAGAGCGTTGTTTTCACCATGAGAATTCTGATTCATGGGGAAAAAAACCCTCTGGGCCAATGACCAACTGAGCAACAGTGAAATCCTATGGACAATCCGATCATGAAAGCAGTAAATGATCTATAAATGCTGGTCAAAAACACCATAGCCATCTGAAAATTGGATGGTAATTCTCTCCGAAATGACCCCGATGACCCGCTTGGTGAAGCATTTGATGGGTTGAAATCCGGTCCAGAAATCCGGTCGCCGATTTTTATCGCCAGACCTCTGCATTGAACGCCTGGGTTGTTCGTAAAATCTTTATCATTTCTGCAAGAAACGAACGGGTCAAAATTGTGGGGCACGAATTCTTAGATGGTTTCAGATCGAAGTAGCAGCAAAACACGGTTTCGTACCTGAATGAGTTGACCCATCCTTTTCTCGTAAAGTGAAATTTGCGAAGATCCGATTGGCTTTTGCCAATTTTGCACTTTGGGGGGGTCTATGGTTGTCATATGCTATATATTTACTATATTCTTAGTTGGAGATATTTTTTTTTGTTTTTCAACCATCGAAATGAGATGAAACTCCCCAACGTGGACTTCAGGTCTTCAGAAGGCTCTGGGATGGAGCCGCCCGAAAGCCCAAGGACCAGATTTCGGGCTGAACAGTTTTGTTTTCGCTTGTTGAACATGGTTTTGGACCCACTGCCAGATGTCCATTACTCCATGGTTTTTGGTCCGAAAAATGGTAGGCGTCTCAATTCCCGCAGAGACACACTGATATTGCTGGTTGGTGGTGACTGGAACCATGGAATTTTATGACTTCCCAGATATTGGGAATGTCATCATCCCAACTGACATTCATATTTTTCAGAGGGGTAGGTATACCACCAACCAGTATGGCATTTTTGCCACATGTCGTTCGATGTTTGGAGTACCCCCCTTTTGGATCAGCAAACTGGATGCGGGTTGGCAGCTTGATTGGGAACTTTGATTGCTTGATTGCTATGATTACTGTGCTAGAAATACCCTTGGTAAGGCTCTTACTCATATCCATTTCATAATCATAAATCATTTCATTTCATTTCATTTCACAATCATAGATACATAATAATTTCATCAAGTTCGAAGTAGCATAACTTGTGACATGGAACTTGGATGCGCCTTTCCTTGACATAACTTTGATGACACCACTTGAGCGTCGGTACACACGTTAACAATACACTTCGTAGTATCCATCCATCCATCCGTCCGTCCGTCCGTCCGTCTGTCCGTCTGTCCGTCTGTCCGCCTGTCCGTCTGTCCGTCTGCCTGTCTATCTGTCTATCTCTCTATCTGTCTATCTGTCTATCTGTCTATCTGTCTATCTTTCTATCTATCTATCTGTCTGTCCGTCTATCTATCTGTCTCTCTGTCTGTCTCTCTGTCTGTGTCTCTCTGTCTGTGTCTCTGTCTGTCGGTCCGTCCGCCCATCCATCCATGTCTCTATACGCACATGTGCATGCCAAATTCTAAGCACCATCGACGCCCCCGAAATGGGTTTGTCTGAAAATATGATACCCCTAAATCCTCCGCTCAGTCATCATTTTCCACCGATTTTCCAATGGCAAAGTCCACGTATTTTCGTTGGTTAAATTCCAGCGTAATTTTCATAATTAAAGCAGTTTTTTTCCATAGCAAATTTATAGATGATTTTCCGAGTAAATCCCACTTTCAGATAAAGCCACGTCCATGGTTCATGGTTTAAAAAGTTTAAAAGTTCAATCCCCCAACGAGTTAGATCCCATTCAAATCCCATCCCAGAAAAACCCATGAAATTTCGCATGTTTTTCATCATTCGATCCCCTGAAAATGGCATGAACATATGGAGGTTTCCTGAGTCATGGGGGTACCCCCAGTCATCCATTGATAGATGAAGATGATGAAGTTTCCGGCAAATAAACCATCTAGCTATTGGGGTACCCCCATTTATGGAACCCCCACATATTGCGTGGCCAATATTTCTCCCTTGTATTTCAAAAAATCACCAATGAACATCAATAAACCAGCATAAAGAATTGGCTAAAATCACCATATGCCAAAGAATGGATTTTGTTTACAGTTGATGAGTCTTGCTTGTTGCCTGTCCTGGGATGTCGAAGGTCTGGGGCTGCCATAAGCTCCTAGCATTGAAGCTGCAGATGGGAAAGCAAATGATGGGCATGAATTCAACAACTATCATGAGCAATTAGTCAAAGCAAAACCATCACTCAAGGAACTTCATATTGTTGGAAATGGAGGTTTCCTAAAGGAGGTTTCCTAAATTGGGGGAAGCTTCAAATCATCCATTGTAATAGGATTTTCATGGATTTTCCATCAAATAGTTGCGGTACCCCCATGACGGAAACCTCCACATCTGTTATCGCCCGAAGATCCTTCCGCCCGAAGTGTTGCCTGAAATCTCACTGTCCACAAGTGTGGAATATCGTGAGTGCAACACATCGTAGAACAGCATATATAGGTATCAATATTACAACAATATCATTTAATACATTATATTATATATATAATTATATAATTATATAATTATATAATTATATATATATATGTATAACTAACAATACATAGCAGAAAATGTGGGAAAAAAAAACCAGGGAAATCCCTTAAATCACCGGTTTCAAAGCTGAGATTTTCACCACAGCGAAACCGCCAGGATTGGGTGGCTGCATGGCAAGCCCTCGGCATCCCAGGTGATCGACAGGGCGAGGCGTGGCGTTACGCGACCAGGTGTTTTGATGGACGCTGTTATACATATACATACACACATATATATATAATTATATATATATGTATATATATAATTTATATTTATTTATTGATTTTGGTTCTGAGGTTTTCCAGCTGTTAACGGGACATGAATAATATTCAATAGCCACTTGACTAAGAGGTCTTGAAACACGTATTGCTTTTCTCATGCGTCTAGGACCCATCATGTTTGGGAGATGAAACCAGCAGATCGGTGCCATCAGCGAGAATCAAACTTTTTCACCTTGGCGTTCAGCAATTTTAATCCAGCATCGTTGGTCACACGATTTTTTTTTGGCTCCATGCCAAGTATCATCGGATATCAATTTCTTCTTGTTTCAGCCTTCCGCAGTTGTTGTAACTTGGCTATGGATCAATACCTATTAATACCATTTTTAGGGGGTTATTCACATCCATAAATCCCAGCTATTTTGATGTTCACTACAGGGGTACTATTGGTTTTGACACACTGCCACTTGGCGGTTGTACCCATGGGAATCGGTCACTGGTCGTTTGTTGTCCCCGTGGATCGACGCCTTCGCACTCGGAACACCTCGGAACACCAGGATGCTGGGGGTATTTCCCAGCCATGGCATTTCAACGCGTGGAACGGTGTTTGGGTGTTTGGGTGGTGATTTTCCATGGTGGCACTGCTTTCCAGAGGGCTTACCCTCTGGTAATTTGTTACATAGCTATTGAAAATGGCCATTGATAGTGGATTTTCCCATTGAAAAATGCCATTTTCCATAGCTATGTTAAATTACCAGAGGGCAAATCCCGGATGAAAACCATGTCGATTCGAAACCGCGGACCAGGCGTTGCAGAAACTCTTAAACCTGGCTTTCGTGCAGACTGAGGAGGGTGCTGGACCTGGGACAACACGCTGGGATTCAGCGAATGTTTTGTTGTTAGCCAAAAACGGGTAGATCTCTTGGTAGATCGACCGTTTGATGTTAGTAATTTCATTGTCAAACATATTCAAGCATGGGGTTTCAACTAACATGTGGGAAGTTAACCATCAAAGTTACGGGTAAATCGACGGGTGAATTGGTGAGTTGGATAGGTGAAATAAGTTGCAATAATGTGAATCACCTTCTCGAGGGTATACATATGGAGGTTTCCTAAAGTAAGGGTACCCCCAAATCATCCAAGTCATTAGACCATTTTAGAGTTGAAACAAACGGTGACTTGGAGATCCCCCATTAAAAAAAATATTGACCTGGGCCAAGCCTTAAAACATCTTCAAATTTCACCCAAAGGACTTTTGGGTTTCCCATGACACACAGAGCTTGGTTGGATTCGCATTCGTTTTGTGTAATCCCTTCCCCCCCCAAAAAAACCTCCAAACGAAACCCCTGGTTGAGATTTGGACATATTCATTTTGGGTTTCGGTTTGGGAGTATTTCATATGATTGGAGGATGGGAAAAAACATCTTTCAAAGTTACATCTCTACAGTAGTGGTATTTTTTAGACCAACCCAGATCCCACGCTTTAGACAGATATACAAACATATGGGTATGGGTCAAAATTAGGTACCCCAATAATTGGATGGTTAATACTAAACTAGACTAACATCTGTGGTCCCCTAGGTCTTCCATTTTGACCCACATCCATATCATCATACATATCATCATACACATAACATGACGGTATTTCCACTATTTCCTATAGGATACCCCAGGTTATCATCCCATAGATCATCCCATAGATCCCATAGATAAACCTAATTTTATCTAATTTTCACCATTCATCATACAGGGGTTGGTAACTGTCCCATTTTGGGAATATTGGACATCACCTTATAGTAGCCATTATAGACCATATACCTAATGGTTGGGTGATGTTCAATGGGGACATTTAATGACCCATGTCATAGCAAAATTTAATTTTCACCATGGAGACAGCAATAGAATTGGCTTATCTCCCCTTGGAAGAATCGAGGACCCGGACAAGGCACCCTTGGTGCTGGCCGAGTTGGTCCGAGTCTCGATTTCCGGGTCAAATCTTAGCTGGTTGGTGGTTTGGAACATGGCTTTTATGACTTTCCATTCAGTTGGGAATTTCATCATCCCAACTGACGAACTCCATCATTTTTCAAGATGGTTGAAACCACCAACCAGTTGGGGTCCTGAGAATGGGACAGTGGGAGAATGGAGATAGAATGGGAAGAGATCACCAGAATTACCAACCACAACTGTTTTGGGTGTGAAAATGGGGTATAACCCCAAGGCAATCTAAATAAGGCAATTATAAACTTTTTTTTGGGATGCTATTTTCAGACAAAACCATATGGACATTGAACCATCCAAAATATTGGGATTCAGGAGTTAACATGAGTTAACCAACAGGCACTGGAGATATCTAGAGATGGCCTGGCCCAAATGATTGAAATGGGTGGATATCGCAGGGTGATAGAAAGGACATGTAAGAATCTATACTTCACAGAATTGGATGATGGGACAATTTACAGGACAGCCCTATAGTTGATGGTAAAAACCATGGTTTCCGGTTAAGATTTTCCCCAAGAAACCAATGCATTGAATACTGGGATACAATTCGGGATATTTGAATAGTATGCTGGGTTTGTCACCATGTCCAAAATCAATTTGGATAGCCCTTCAATTTGCCATCAAAGTACTGGGGAAATCCGCGAGATCGGAGATTTTTTTGAGGCAGAAAAGGCGCTCATGAATTGAGCCCACTTACAACCAGGTGTGCTGTGTATATCATTATATATCCTACTTCCTAATCAGAATGAACCACCTTGTATGGCTCAAGACTATGTTGGTCACCTTTTTTGAAAGCGATGAAAGCGAGATTTGCACGTGGATTGTCGGTTTGCAGGTTAGACATTCTCGGAGGGTATCCAATGGCAAAGCTTTGATAGCCCTGAGGTTTAGCTGGGTAGTATGTACCCACATGTATGGCAAAGAAGTAAACTACAATATACAACCAAGGTTTATATACCAACATTTCGAGATATGAACAACTTGCAATTGTACATGAAACTATATCTTTCAATCTATGATTATCTATGTATGAACATATAGTAATATAAGTAATGTATATATATATATATCATTACACATCACCAATCATAATCATATATATATATATATCCGGGCAAACCTTGGCGAGGCCAATTCCTATTTTCCAAGGTCAAAGGGCACAAGGTGAAGATGCGTAACGTGGAGGATGTCTTCGTGTCCTTTGGGTGTGGCCCTTGGGTTTCCGGAGAACACGGTGGCGGGCGGAGAAAAGCTGCGGAGTTGAGACCCGAGTTAAGATGATGGTCAGTTTGAGGATCTTTTTTTTGGGGTCATTTCCACTGGATGGATGATTCTGTAGCCGTTTCTTTTTTTTGGCCATATGACCTACAGAACCAGCCCACAACCAGCCCCCGGTGAGGCAAAATCTGGATGGTATACTGGCCATCAATGAAGAAGCCTGGCAGCTCTATGCCAAATTCCTGGTACACGTCCGGGCCTTGAGAGTTGTATCTCTGGGATATGCTACCCCTCTGGTAAACCCACATAATCATGGAACATACATAGAAAAATCAGCATTTTTGATGGCGAAAACAATATATGGGCCATTTTCAATAGCCATGCCACCTATTACCAGAGGGCAGCATTCAGCGAAGGTACCCCAAGATTTGGTTGCTGCCTTGATTTGGTAACCCTGGTAAGTTCGAAGAACTGCAAGGCTGGGACAGATGCTTGGGGTACTGGTTTGGCTCAAAGAGAAGGCTGATTTTCTGGTTCGGAAAACAACTTCAAGCAATGTGAATGGACCAAACCAGTCTTCATGGATCAGATGGGTGAAATACCCCAGTCTTTATGGCGATTCCGGCGATTCTGAGGTGTTCCCCAAGCCACAAACGGCTGGTTGGGGATGGTCCCGCGTTGGCTGGGACTTCAAGGGATGGTGTGGGCTCCCAGGGCGTCCCGTTCCCAGGATGGGGCCCCCAGCCGATAGCGTGAACCGTTGGTTTATAAGTGGCTGAATTCTATATGGTTTATGGTAGATATAACTATAGTTAATATGGATTGCAATGGTTGATAAACCAACTTATAACTGGGGGGGCCCATCCTGCCTGTTCATGGTGCACTAGTGTCGACTCACTACAGATCTCTATGGATCTGTAGTGAATTCCAATCTAGCTGAATCTAGCTGGTGAAAAAAGTCCAGAAGAAATTGGATGATTGGCAATCCATACAGTCAGCTTGCCAATCGGGACCATTCTTGGAACCAATCAATCCTGGAATCGGAGAAATCATGAAAAATCCATAGGATTGTCCTTTTTTGGGGGGTTAAAACATGTTAAAACCAGATTTTCCCTTCAACCCATCCATTGAATCAACACCTACGCCATGGCGAGTCGCAGGTGGCAGTTCTGTGAACGTTGCTTGCAGTCCCTGGAACCCTCGCGTTCCTTTGACGTGCCGGGACCTTGGACGTAGCACTTCCAGGGTGAAGCATGGGCCCCCGTGCCATGGGGCTTTCCTAACATGGAGAATCCCCCAGTCGTCACCACGGTTGCTTCAATACTACGGTCCTGCATGACGACTGGATGGCAAATGGGGGTACCTCCATGACTTCGGAAACTTCCAATAACAGCCCACCTCAGGAATCGTTGCTTAGAAGCCCAGCTGGGGGTATAACCCGCGAAAAATGGTTTGAAGCACCAGGACCGGTCGCATTCCGATCCCCCTAGTATACCATTGGCCCATTCCATTCATATCCCATGAAAGCATGATTTTTGATGGTTGAGCCCCAAAGCACTAGCACCATCCCAATGCAACACGCCTAGTCCGAGGATGGGACTTGTCTTGAGGCTCTGCCAGGCCGGGCTTAGAGTACCAAAATCCAGCCCAAAAAAAACACGCAATGTATGGTTTAGAATTTTGGTTGGATTTAGGACATACATGTGTGTTTAGAATTCATTTTACCCAGAATTAGGGTTACACGTGTGTTTAGGACCTCCATGGTTTAGAAATGTTTAGAAATTTATTTTCCATACGAAAAATATGCAATCGTATGGGTATCCCTCATTTCCAAACCAACATACATCCAAATATCATCTTGTTGGTTGTATATCCCACAGAAGGTCCCACACAACATCTATGAAACATTGGGTTAATCCCCACCTTAATGGTTGACCGCAAGTTGACCCCTCAAAAAAAAGTGATGATACCCTCAATTTATTTCAGACATACCCACATTCATGGCTTAAGTTCCCCAACTTCGTTGGTTAAATCGCGTTCAAATCCATTCTAAAACCCATTCAAACACCAATAAACCATTAAAGTCCATTAGAACTCCCATGAAGATCCACAAGATCCACTAGAAATTAGAATCCATTGCAGTAACATCCATTAAACCACCGTGAATTCCCATGGAATTCCCATGGAATTCAGATCCCATTTGCCGTCAGGATAAGGAGGGCATGCCGATCCATAGTTGCCAGGCGGGGATGCCGATATGGGGTACGGTTGGGATGTTTGAGGATTTTGCATTTCTATACATGTCGATTTTTTTGGGAGGTTGCTGATTATCAGGCTATATATTATACGTTTTAATAAAATCTATCTACTATTAGAATTTATAATAAGTATAATATATATATATATATAATATCTATAGTCTGTGGATTAATTTGATGCTGCCACATCTTGACCTCATCTCGATGAAAAACTACCTTTTTCGGGGAATCTTCCCCCGGAGATACCTCCGGCATCATTTTTCACAGAAGTTAGTCTGTAGTCATCACCAACAAAAAGATAGATAGCTGTTTTTAGCATCATCACATTATTACAAGGGATCTGCGAATTTCTATCTTGTTTTCATGACTAGATAATGCTGATGACACTTCTAAAACCAAGTTATAACTTGAGGGCACCTTGGTGATGGTCGTGACCATGGTGAGTTAATTTGTCCCATGGCTTTGTACACCTCATATCTCACCGGATGTCTCTGAAAATGGGTGATTTACTGATTGGTGGTTTGGAACATTTTTTATGACTTTCCATATATTGGGAATAATCATCCCAACTGACTTTCATATTTTCAGAGGGATAGGTATACCACCAACCAGTTTAGCAAGTTGTGGCATTGTTGCTTTGCAGGGAACATGAAATCAGCGCGTCGAATTCTCGATCTTTTTCAGGTGTTTCAGGTGCCCCATTTTCAGATAAACCCATCTGGAGAGACGTCGAGCGATGTATATGGCATAGTTCGGATGTAGGGATCCCATTATATAGGGATCAACGGTGCACCGATTCCCATCTTGGATATCTTGGTCCGGCATTTTGGCGCCAATGAAGATCAGTTTCTTTTGATGGAACCCTCCTGTGTTTTTTTGGTGGAGTCAGTTGGGCCAAGCATTGTTGCTACAAGGCCCTTTTCTGTGTGTCAACTCCAATGCCAGTTGGAGCTTTCTGGCTCTCAGGTGTCAACCCAGCAAATTGAAGCTCAAGTGAGTGCAACTCCAGTCAGCTTTCAACCCAGCCAAACGACATTTTTGGAGATGGTGAAGTTATTCCTGAGCTGTCTATTTTTGGCATAAATGTAAACCACCTAATTTGTGGGGTTGATAATTTTGACCCATCACCAGAAAAGCATGGCGCCAAACAGGCTGAGACTGGCATTGACAGCTGTGCGCCTTTGGAAGCCTAGCACCTCTCACACTGGGCTTTGAGCAAGTCAGATGTGTACTTCATCAAACTTCAAAGCCATCCTTTTTGCAGAATTCAAAAATCCATCTATTGATTTAGAATCATCACAACATCATCTTATTCATCCACCTTAAATATAATTTTTCTCCAGAATATCAATCCAAAAGATGACCATTTCTCAGCCACACTTTTTGTGGCGAAAAACATGGCATCCATGACGGGACGTTGCCATGCCGGCCATGCCGCTTGTCAGCTGCTGCTTTTGTTGCTGGTGCCCTTCGGCACCGATGCGTGGCTTGGCCCTTCTAACATGGCTGGGATAGCTTGGGGCTATGAATGGTTTATGCCAGTTCGACTTGTAGACCAACTAATGCACGAAGCCAAACTTCAGCATCCAATTTGTAGAATCAACGAGAATGCACTTTCTCTCTGAAAAGTATATCACTTCTGGCATGAAATTGTCATTTTAAGCCTTGAATGCAGCCAATTTTGAGATCACCGTTCAACGACTTCACCCCTGCAGATAGGTAGCCAGCAGAAATCGAGTCCAGCAAGCCCTGAAAAGACAGCCATTTGGGAGTTTCCATAAATGGGGGTACCCCAAAATGGCTGATGTATGATGGAAAATCCGATAAACATGGATGATTTGGGGGTACCCGAGGTACCCCTATTTTCGGAAATCTCAATTTTTTTGGATTTACCATAGGCAAAAAAGAGCTCCCAATGGAGCACTTGTGGCGTGGACAGTGGAGACGGCTAGGCGTCCGTCGCCAACGTTGTTCTCAGGTCGGAAGGAACGTTCACAGCCTCGATCTCGAAACCCCAGGTTGGTGTCGCCCGGGTACTCAGCGATGGCAGTTTCATGGGCGGTCTATTTTTCCATGTGGCTTTGTCTGAAAATCGTGTCCCGAAATCGACTGGTCAGTCATCATTATCCCGGATATCCCTATGAAGTAGCCGGTATACCCCATTTTCAGACACACCCACATTTTTTTCTACTGGTGTAGTATGCATGTTTATGGTAGAGTCTACACTGTAGCTGGGTTGTGAGACATATTGGAGATCATCCAGAGGTGGAATAGATAAAAACCTTTGGGATGTTCCAGTCTCCGCAGGGCCGAGGTTTTCATGCCTAGTATCAGGTCTTTTTCTGAAGCAGTTTTTTGGCTTTCGCGGCTCTCTGTTCGCAACTGGTAACTAGCTTCTAGCCACGGTCCTGCTCGCCATTCAGAACAGCAAGTAGGTTGGAAACAAACGGCACTGGGTCTAGCTTTTAACTGGAGTGAATCCCACTACTTAATCCCTAAAATATCCTAAAACTCATGTCAAAGCTGAAAATCTATGGATATTTTTCCATCCCCAAACTTTGGATCCATGAAAAATACCCTCTGGTAAACGTTTACGTAACGAACTGGAAAGATCCACCATGCTATTAATGGGTAAATCCACTATAATCCACTATAAATGGCCATTTTCAATAGCTATGTTAGTTTACCAGAGGGTACCTGTCCATACCTTTCCAAACCATGGGATCCATTTTTCGTTTGGGGCGAGGAGACCGAATCCACCGCTGATTTCGTGGGCCAGGCTCTACAAGCTGGGAATTGCCCAACCAAACATGGCGGTTTTCATAGGAAAATCACCCAAACCACCACATACTGTAACTGTTGCATATGGACTTTTACCATAGTTCATATATGTTCATATACTATAAATGTTCGTAAATGGAGGATTTTCCAGCTTTGGGCACATAATTCGGTCACAAGTGAGATGAATATTCAATCTGGGTGTCACAGGGTCTGAGGTTTGCATGTAATTCTGTTGGCTCATGGTTCCTACATATTCCTACATATCGTTTTCCATCGCTAAAAACACACTTGTGATATATTATATATATACATACATCACATATATATATATAATATACATATATATATAATATAGTCAGTGATGATATGCCGCGTGACTTTCACATGCTAGGGATATCTTGGATGAACAGATTTGAAAAGGCTTAACCCTCAAACACAAATAGAACAGGGGAATGGATCATCCAGACAACGAACATTGACATAGACACTGGGTCCTGGGAATGTTTGGGGGATGGTAACCCAGACCCAGCTGGGTCTGACCCGCCAGGCTCACCCCAAGCGCTTCCGTGTCAGCGAGATGCCCCAGGTGAAAAAACACAACGGGAATGCACAGCAGATTCAATGTGCCATTTTGATGGGTCCAAAAAACAAGAGCCATCAAAATCAGATGGCTACAGAAATGGTAGTTACCATCTGGTTATGACTCACAGTTCGCCATGGAAAATCACCATGCTATTAAGTTCGGTAAACCATCTTTTTCGATTAGGGCCATCGAAAAACCATGGCGAACTGTTAGTCATAACCAGAGGGTAGTTATTACTCTACTGCTAAGCCATGCCATTTTTGGGCTGCGCGACGTGAAGCCTGGAAATCATGGGATGTTTTTTTTGCATGAAAAAGGTGATACATCTGTGCCATGTTTCCTACAGATTCGTCACCGGAGTCCCCTCAAGAGGCGTCAATATATGACCGCCATAGCTTTCCTGCGCTTGCAATGTAATGTCAACCCCGGATTTTGCTAAACCATGGTTTATTAATTAGGGGGGGTACTCCTCCAATAGTTATAATCTGATACTTAAATGGTACCCTCCCAATGAAACAGCCGTAAACGGGGTTTATTAATCCAGGGTTGACATTACTGTTTTTCATCGGGACTCCATTTCCCCCACCAAAGGTGACCCAAGCCGTTGAGAAAGCCCTTGTGGTGATTCGAGGGCTGAACCGTTGGGCTTGAGTCCCGATGTAAGTCTTTATCCATGTAGCTTCGTTTGAGCCATAAAGAATTTAAGGGAGCTACCCAGAGCTACCCAGAGCTAGGTCAACCCTGGATCAATCCACCGAGTGTTGTTCATGCATAGTATACATACGTAGTATACAGTACGATGTGCATTTGCGAGTCCGAAGATGTGAAATCTCACCTTGTCACTTGGAGATGTGGAACCCACAAAAATTTCGCGATTCAATACTGTGGATGAGCCAGCGAAATCCTGCACCTGCACCTGCTGCACCTGGGATGGTAGAAAGCCCAACAAAATCATGGGATGTTTACCACCTATCAACTGGTGATTGGGATTTCGCTGGCCCATCCACTGTCTCTTGATGAATCATCCCCGGGCCATGTCATAAGTAATGGCTTGGTGAATGAGTAAAAAAAAAGGTCAGAAAATCCAGCCAGATTGAATCCCATATATGGTTATATAAATTGTGATGTATACGTATAATATATATAATATATATATATATATTATATATATATATATCAAATTATATAATTTCCATGATCTTCCCGTTGTTGGTTACATTCCATTATATATCCATTCAGCCTGAGATCACATCCGTTGCCACAGGCGGCCGCGGAAGTCATGGAGGGCATCGTGGAGACCTTTCTGCAGAAGCAACAGCTGCCTGCGGATGAGGCGCCAAGAGCTGGTCTGGTGTTGGGAGGACCCGTGAAAGCTGTTAAAACTGAGCTACCCTCTAGTAATTTAACAGAACTATGGAAAATCACCATTTATGGTGGATTTTCCCATGAAAAATGGTGATTTTCCATAGTTATGTTAGTTTACCAGAGGGTAAACATGAGGGCTTCACATGATTTCACCCTGAGAAATGTGATTTTTGCAGGGATTTTCACCATGAGAAATAGGATTTTTGTAGGATGGAGATGGGTTCAAAACTAGTTGGTCGCCAGGGGTGATTTGCTTCTTAATGGGATTTAGATGCTCCAAAACACGGGGTTTCCGATGGGATGTATCAGGGTGTCTCCCCCAAAAAACCGGGGGCTGATGGGACTGGGGTTGTTTGCGGTGTCCAAAACTCCGGACACCTTGAGCAAATCCATCTCTCGAGGGTTTTTCCCCACAAATTGACCCATTTGGATCAATGGATCGAGGGATCTGCAGAGGTCTTGACCAAAGCTTATTTTTTGGATTCTTCCCAATCCACAAGTTGTTTTATTGTTTGAAACCACAGTTTATTAATCACATACTTAGATCTTCGTTGTTGCGATGACTTGTTCTCTTTGTTGCAAGAACAAGGAGACTTTCATTGGTCCACATTCCGCAAACGTTGTGCTTCAGCGAGATCACCCTTCCCAATTCCGAATGACAATTAGTCTGCTTCTCATCTATATCTATCAATATGTTTGCTGGTTAAGTATGGTTTCGAACATTGTGAATCCATTTAGATTGCTAAACACATGTTAAAGTTACATCCATTTACCTTAGATATGGTTAATCATTCAAACTCGCTTTTTACTGAATTGTAGCCATACATTTGGATTCTTCGCCTCCTTGGGAGATGGGTTTAACGTTGATCCCCGCAATTTTATGTCAAAATTGAGCATTTCTGGGGGGAAATGGTCAGACATAGCTGTAGTAAATCCGATTACAAGCCATCCTGAAAAACACCACTATATAATGATGAATGGAAAATCTGATGGGAATGAAATTTCATGGGAATTTTTGTGTGTGTTTTTTATCATGACATTCCCATGACATTCCCATGAAATTCCCATGACATTCCCATGACATTCCAATGAAAAACCCCACGAAAAAAAACGTGAACTCCTTCCGTTTGCCGATGATTTTCGCACGGCACCCCCCCGAGGTGAAGTGTCTTGAAGACGGAACACGGCAAATGGCCGAAGATGTGCTGCTGGTGGGTAGCCATGTGGCCTCTTGGGCAAAAAAAAACACTGGAAAAAGGCCGTAAAAGGTGTTTTTTTTTCATGTGGGGATAGAATGGGTTTAGAATGGGGAAACCAACCATACTGAGGTTTCAATGGATTGCAGGGCTTCAAAATCTGCAGGAGACCATGGGTTTTTACCACTCAAGCTGGGGTTTCAAAGCATGAAATTCTCCCTTCCACCAATTCAAGGGGGTCGCACCGGAGAGTTTTTGATTGAGGTCGACTGGGCAAGTCTTGGCGAGTAGACGAAAATGGCTCAGTGTTTTTTCCTGCTATCAATACGGGGCATATGTTGAATATGTCTGGTTGGTGGTTTGGAACATGAATTTTATGACTTCCCCAATAGCTGGGATGATGATCCAGTCTGACTTTCATATTTTTCAGAGGGATTGAAACCACCAACCAGATGTTAAATACCAATCTAAAACCTGACCTTCTTTCCGGGCAACTAAGACAAGCCATGTTTCTAGAGCAACCTGATCTTGAAAATCCAAGGCCGTAAACCTTCAATTGGGGATGGTTTCAATCTCACCCATTTCCGGGAAATCAGTGGAAGTGGTTGAGATGGTTTGGAGTCTTGGGTTTACCACATCCTTACTGCATTACTTCTACATCAGAACATCAAGTGTTGGTCATTTCCTTGTTTTTTGTTTCCTGGTGAGATCACATATTAGCAGCGTTTCTGCTGCTTCAGTAGCCCTGAGGTCTTGCTTAAGTTCCCATTCTTGATGGATGTCACACTGTCTACATCCATGCCATGGACATCACTTGAACAGATATTTCTTCACATGTGTGCCTGTATTGTTTTGACCAACCAACCAGCTTTCTGTTCCCCAGCATTGGAACAGACAGCCCTAAACTGGTTGGTGCTTTCAACATGCTTCGTCATTTTCCACGAAATTTAAGGGATGGTTTCCACCAACGGAATTTTTGGGATATTTTGGGATACTTTGAATCGGTTGAAGGCTCCACAAGTCTTCAGCGAGAGCCAAGGTGATGTTTACCCAGGAGTTGACTGGAGCTCGTGAGGACAGGGTATGGCCCTAGCCAGGAATGAAGTGGCCATCTTTGAGTCATCTTTTTTTCTAAACTATTGAATCATTCAATGAAAAACGGCAGACTATTCAGTCGATGACTGTCTTCCAATTGTGGTGTCCGACCTGTGGAATTTAAGTCGACCCAATGGCACCAAGCCCCAGACAGGGATGATGGATGTAAGCAAGAAACGTGCGTTTCGATTGCGTTTCGAAGGGTGGACCCAAAAAAGATAAGAGATTTACCTAAACAATAGGATATTTATATAAATGGCATTGATATAAGATTTGCCCCATCTATTGATAGATGTTGGTTATTTACAATAGGCATTGATAAATTGAGCCTTTAAACAAAAAAAATGTTTGCGGCTGTTTGGACGAACATATTATACACAATGACTTGGACCATATCCTGACTTTGGGCGACGGTCCAACTCAAGTGTGCATCACTTTTCACAACCAGCTACGCTGTGGTTGGTAAAACATTGAACTAAATGGGCTATCTACACACATATATATATATCTACCTATATATATATACCATAGCTCTATTAGATTTTGAGAGTGTATCATCTTTCTATAGAGCCTCCCGTTAAAACTTGGCATGGCTTGAAGATCCACCACGGCCAGGCCCTCCCTGAACTGGGCCAGTTTCCCACCACCACCACGCCGGACCAGGTCGCGGGTCTTCCGTGTTGAAACCCATGGGATTTTTGGGTGCCCGGTTTTTTTTCCCACCACAAGCTGTATCTTGGGAATCTACTTTTTAACATATGAGCTATAGCAGCTATGGTCAATACTCATGGTTAATAACCATTAAAAACGGGGCTAGTCATCCAATGGTTCAGGATGGGATTTATAATAACATATAATAACCATTATAAGGATCCTTATTGTGGATGGGATGACCATCAACCATATAGTGAGTATTGACCATGGCTCATATGGATGTGGGTCAAAACCCTGTACCCCCAGTGAATCTCAAGGTTGATGGTCATCCCAAAAATACCACATGATTAGTAGGTTTTGACCCATACCCATATTGGACAGCAGTCATCAAATCAATTCAAATCACATTTCCTGCCAGCGATGATTTTTGGGAGGATTTCCAATATGTTCTGAGGGCTGGAAGATATGAGAAATGCAGTAACTAGATTTGATTACTTCATTTCTGAACAAGCCAACATTGAAGCCTTTGCTTTTGAGTCCATGATTTTTCCCAGTATGGTGACCATGGTGCAAACGATCTTGCGGCAAAGTGGTTTCGTGTCACGTTTGCGCTGGCCAGTAGGAGTCAATGGGAAACACAGCTCAGCATTGTTCAACTCAGATTCTCCACGTGAAAGCCACTTGAATTGCTTGGGACCTCTTGTATTTCCGCAGTCATCGGACAATCCAGTATGAGTTAGGTTTTGTTGACTTTGCATCCATCGTTCGTGCTGAATGTCTATAGGCAAAATCCCAGCATCGCTGGCCTGGGTTTGTCTCCAACTGGGGTACCCAAAATTCCAATATAGATTACATCACTTTTTTTTTCCACTAAATTGCAACGACTTGGGGTATCCATTTTTTGATGAACCCAGATATCATATTGACATATATTGACTATGTATTTACTATATCCCAATCAATCTCACCATAAAATGGTTGGTTGATGATGATATAAACTCGAGTTTTTGGCCTCGGAAATTGACCCATTGGCAATACTTGGTGGCTATAAGCCCACTTATAAGTAGGGTTAGCGCGGTTACCAGTCGTAACTGGGGTTTATAATTCTATTTCCCAAATATTCAACAGCCCCATCCAGTATGGTTCCAACATGTTCCTATGTAAAAACATGGTGATTTCACCTACATCCAGCATGGTTTCTGAGGCTGTTAGGGATGGGCGGCTCACCGGTCCCAGCCAGGAGTGGTTGAAGGAGAAGGGTCTACTGGCGGAGCGTAGGCTGAAGGACGGCAGAACTAGCTGTCAGAAAAATGGGCGTAGGCCCTACGTGGGCATCTTAGCTGTAGAATATAGGGATTGAAGCAACCAAAATGATGAATGTAGGGATTTCGGCTGTTCAAAATGATGAAACATGATGAAACAAAGTCGGTATGTCACCAGCCAAACTTGGGACTTCAGAAGCAAAGCCTTGGGTTTTAGAGGGGTCTTCAATGTTTTCCACTTTTCTGGGGGGAAACGGTGCTGACATAATGGGCAAACCATCCAACATGATACTGTTAGAGTCTGTTAGAGTTAGAGAAACATCAGGGTCTCTGCCCTGCCATGATGTGCAATGATCTGCAATCTGTTCGCAGTAGGGTCCATCAAACGCGCTGGGTTTGAAACGCTGAATGTCCCTTGGTTTGGTCAACGCTCACTACTATTTCTTCGCCTCTATAGATTTCTCTTTGGTCACCTCTTCTCTGTTGATTTATGTCAGAGTCCAAAACATGTTGGCATTCTTCTCTAAAAAAATCATGCTTGCCTCCACGTTCGTAGCCTGAGAAATCAGTCGTTCGCGGTTCGTCAGTTTTTCTTGTTTCAACTCTTTCCCAATTGGCAGTGTGTCAAAACCTTGTACCCCTGGTGAACATCAAAATAGCTGGTAAATGGATGTTCATTCCCCTAAAAATGTTAATAGGTATTGATCCATACCCAATTCCTCAGACTTTTCGGCCCATTCCAATTTTTCCGCCTGGAGAGGACACCAAGGGTGACAGCTCGGGACCGGATTTTCTGATGGACGCCTCAGCTGTGGTCATGGAACTGGGGCTCAGCATGCAGAAGGTGCCGATACGCCATGGTTGATGGGAGCCTATGGTTTTATGATGTTTTATGCAACCGGTCGCAGGACCTAGCAATCTATCAGAGATATAATAAGAGCTAGAAGCTGATGGCAATGCCATTAGTGCAGCTTCATCTTGTGAGCCAAGAGGCTTTCTGGAGCATCAACCGACTTCTATGATGCACAGATAGTGGAAGGATGAGTTGAGAGCTCCATGACGACAACGTAACTGGCAAAACCATTAAAACACATGGGGAAGTGATACTTATTTCCAAAGTGAGCACGTTTGCTAGTCAGTCTCCAAGATGATCCATCGCCAGTGAAGATGGACTATGTTTCCAGATTTATCACTATTTATCCCATCAAACATGGAGGTATTAAGCTGATATACATTCAATCAACATCACATGATTCAAATGCCATTCGCAAGACATGACCATCGAATCCCCTTTGTCTTAGTGTTCACGTACAAGGAATGGGGAGGATGATATAACTAATTTTGTAACTGCATTTTTTGGGAATCAATCAACAAATTGTTATGGATATACCGATATGGCAGTGTGTCAAAACCTTGTACCCCTGGTGAACATCAAAATAGCTGGTAAATGGATGTTCACTCCCCTAAAAATGGTATTAATAGGTATTGATCCATACCCATATACCAATGCTTATCCATTTATAGAGGGAACCGAACGTCGGAACCAACCAGCAATCAACAGATCTTTGGGCCCCGACCGACTGGATGTGTTGTTTTCCATCCAACCGAGTTTTCTCTTGTAGGAAAATGACCTCTTCACCAGCAACATATATATATATATATATATCAGCAACATATATATATATACACTGTATATATGTTTATTTATATTGTTTTTTTTTGTGAACTACCAAAGATTACCAAAGGCATTTTGCTTGCTCCATTGTCGATGTTGGAAGTACGATCCAAAAACTTGCCTCACATGACTTGTCGGTAGACATGCCATCATGCTTGGGGATCCACCATTTAAAGAAAAGCTCCTGCAGGTTGCGGCCCTGAGTCACCAGATTTTGCACACCTGCCTGCAGAATGATGGCTTGAAGGCGCGAAGGGGGCCACTTTCACCATGTTCCGGTTGGGCCTAGCGTTTTTTGGGCAGGGATGATGGAATTTAGTTTAGCTGGTTCAATTGATCCAAATTTAAGATGAAGATTTCAAATTGATGAAGTCTTGACTTGTTGGTTTTTCATTACGATTTCAAACTGACGAAGTTCTGAAGCTTTGTTGTTCTGAGGTGAGGAGTTTGCTGAAGTTAGCAGTTTGTGTGCCAAACATGCTCAATTCTACTCCAAAGTCATACCTTCCCTTGTACTCCCCCATGATTTCCCATGATTTTCCTATATTTTTCCAAGATTTTGCACTCGTTTTCCATAATTTTTCCACGCAGATTTCCCGAAGATCGCCCCAGACATCGCAGGCGCTGAAGCGCGCGGCGGAGCACGCCGTCAACGTGACCTACGTGACGCAGCGCGTCTTCCTGAACGGTGCGGACGTGTGGCTTGGAAGAAGCACAACGGGTCGTTGCGGTGGAGTGGATCCGAGGATGAGAAAAACTGCTTGGTTTTTGGGCCCCATGGGCCCCATGGGCAACCAGAAAATGATGGAGAATTGGGAACCAACAACAATGGGAAATTGGATTTATAGCAGATTTATGATAGCTAAGTAGGTGACCATAACTAGGTGTATTCTATGGTTTATGGTAGATATATCATGATATATCTATACTTATAATGGGATTTCCAAACCAACTAACATCACTGGGGAACCACCCTGTGGTGAGTGTTGGGGGCTACTTGAAGTAGTGCAGTTGGAGCAACATTAACAGTTATGAACACATATTAAAGCAAGATAAGCAAGGCAATAAAGGCCGTAAGTTGGGATAGAATCCTCATAATTATCTGGTTGGTGGTTTAGAACATGGCTTTTATTTTCCATTTCATATATGGGTTGTCATCCGGAACCCATTGACGAACTCCATCATTTTTCAAGATGGTTAGTCAACCACCAACCGGTTATGCTTATAACCACTTGTTATAAGTGGAACTGCACCCGTTATAACCCAGTTCGAGGGGATAATCCAGTTAGAGGACTCAGCAGGGTGACGTGACATGTGCCAGTTCCGATAGTATCGGATGATGATCCTCCAAGTGGCTGACGTTTAGTGCCAGGGACAGGGAAGTTGACGTTTTTTTGGTGACACATGATGGATGGCAGATTTATGTAGAAATAATAGATGGGAGGATGCCCATCAACAAAGAAAAAGGGACATTTTTTTCGAAGAATTCGGAGTGCGTTGCGGAGTCGTTTTTGAAATAGAGTCTTGAAGGACAGGCTGTCAGGCTGTTTAAGGCCAACCTTTGCATCTGTTCTCCCATTGTGGGATTGGTTGAATCCATGTTTTTGTTTGATGACATTCCAATTTCTGTTGGGAATATTGGAACTCCAGATTTTTTTGAAGCCACTCAAATTGCTGGTAGCCACTACTGGTTTGTTGCTGGTGTCGCATTTTTTTGATGAACTCATCGTTCTGTCTTGGCAACTTCCTAGTGCATCCACCGAAAAATTCTTGGTCGAATACCGAAGAGGATAGACATGGATAGACCTTCAACGCCATGGTTTGATTGGTTGTTGCTGGAACCAGCATGGTTTTCCCAGAATTTGAGATTCCCAGGGGTTGCATCTAAGTTAGCGAGTGGCTACTAGCCATATGATACCCAGTTCTATGTTGGATATCCCCAGTAAGATTAAACCACTTACAGAGATGCACATCCAAGTAGCATATCATAGTGTTGGTGATATATCACATGCAGTAGATTTCCCAACATCATAGTTGGTTTTATACCACTATTACTTTGTCGGTTCGATCCCTCAGTTAAATCATGTTAAAACCCATGAACATGTACAGTGACTCTACAGGTTTGTTACACCCATTAAAATTATCCCTCAGTTATTATAATGGTTTCTCATAATGAATAATGTTAAATCATGTCATACCTCAGTTACCCTGCGGGAACATCACCATTTTCAATAGATAAACCATCGAACCAAATGGGCAATCTATACCATAGCTAAGTTGAATCACCACAGGGCAATTCCCATAAAACCCCATTATTAACCATCATGAAACACATCGGATTAACCATTACGAACCCATATTTTCAACCAACTATTATCCCATGAACCCCACTATTGACCATCATGAAACACATCGGATTAACCATTACGAACCCATATTTTCAACCAACTATATTATCCCATGATTCACATTATAACCTATAACCATGACCAGCCCAATGTAAATCCATTTTAAATTACCCTCTGGTTATTTAACATAGCCATGGAAAATGGCCCATAGAAATAGATGGTTTACCTATTAAAAATGGTGATTTTCCACGGCTATGTTAGTCATAACCAGATGGTATTATTAACCCATCATCATTGATGTCATACCTCAGGGTTGCTAGTGAATTCCGAAAAAGCGCGCTGGTTTTTCAGGTGTTCCGAGCTGGCGGAGGGCGTTGAGAAGTGGAACGGAGATGACAGGCGGCTGAACTACCCGGCCTGGTAAACATACAAAAAGCGACATAGAAAATGGCCATAGAAATAGTGGATTTTCCCATGACAAATGGTGATTTTCCATAGTTATGTAAACGTTTACCAGAGGGTATCAGGATATTGATATATTGGGACATTTAAGTAGCAATTGTAACTATATAAATCCCTAAACTTGGGGATTCATAAGTCTAACATGCTTGGGTTTCTATGGTATGGGACATTTGTATAGACATTTCCATGGGACATCTATTTCTATGGGAACATTTTCATGGACATTTTGACATCCGTTTCTCAACAGGCTTGGGGAATCATCAGTATACAATAATATACATAAAAATTGGAATTTGATCAACAAATTTGGGAATTTATCAGTAGAATATGTAGAACTATCAGGATATTAGGCATAGTGGAGAGAATCCGTGAACATATGGGTAGATATTTAAATGGGTAACTTTTCGGCCGGATTTGGCATGGAATTTGGCCATGGCTGGAATTTGCAACGATTCGACCTTGCAAGATGTCGATTGGGGTGACGCGGCATCCCAGTATATGGTTGTGGTGGGTCATTGAAACCAATACCCTCCAGTAAATTAACATAGACCCTGGCAGATAGGGGTTGGAAGACTAGTTTCCACTATTAATTGGTGATTTTCAGGGTCTCTGTTAATTTACCAGGGGGTATATGTCCTCTGTTCTACACACTTTTTATTTTCAGATCTGGAAACCAACTCAAGACAGCCAAAAAAATGGATCTGGTGCAAAAGGACTGGCGATATGGTCTCTGCTATCCCGTCCCCATTTCCATCATTGGGTCCATCCCGAATTTGGGTTACTGTAGACCCCCAGATTTCAATCTCTGTGGGTTAGATCCAAAATCCACTTTTGTCGCAGCTCGTCATACAGTATCTCTCCATTCTGTATGGACCAAAGTCCATAAAGTCCATATTTTCTTGGTTGTATCTCCCCTGAAAAAAAACATATTTTTGCCGGCAAAATCCATCATTTTTCTGGTTGGCCGTCGGCGCCAGGGAAGGTTTTGGCCGCGCCATGGGGACGGTCCTGCGAAAGCTGGTGCTGTCCCATGCCAACAGTCGCTTGGCATCTGCGGTGCTGGCTGAAAAAGCAGGGTCAAGTTGAAGGATTGGTGCTTGTATCCTAGAAATATGGGGGATTGACCCAATCAAAATTGGGATTTTTTACTTGATTTTAGTTTGGTATATATATGGGATAACCCATTGACGAAGTCCATCATTTTTCAATATGGTTATTGCACCACCAGCCAGTAGTTTACTTCTAGTATCATAGAATTGGATGATGGGAAAATTTACAGGAAACCCCTATATTTGATGGTAAAAACCATGGTTTCCTGTAGATTTTCCCTCCAACCAATCCATTGATAGTATTAACTGTCCAATTCTGAGGTGGCCCAATTTTGACCCATCCATGGCAGCTCCCAGCGACGTCGATCTGAGGTGCAGACATCCAGGTAGGAGATGCAGGGTGGAGAGGGTGCAGTGCTGGGTAGCTGGGCAAGATGGAACATCAAGGAAGTCCACGAAAATGACCTAAATTTTTGGCAGTTTGGAACATATTCAAGGGAAGATGGTTTTCATACCTGAACGATTACTGAACAAGCACTGAACATATCACATGAACTGAAGTTTTTTTTAAACCACAGGAACTCCAACAGTTGAAGTGACACAGTTGGAGTCCTCTGGGATTGCCCGGCGGCCCGGCGTCGAGAGCGCCAGGCTTTACCCAACGCCAGCATTTTAGTCAACATCACAGATGCCTGGCTGAGCGCAAAAAGATGGTGGGAAAAACATGGAAAAACATGGAAACACATGTTTTAACTATCAGACATTGGATTTCAATGGGATTTGAATGGGATGAACTAACCATCCACAGCAGTTGTTTTTTTAAATAGGATTCTAAACGGGATGAACTAAGCATCAAGAAAGAGGATTCTTCCATGGGATTCAAGCGACAGAAACTGGTGATTTCCATGTGATTTCCAGTCAACGTGGCTGACGTAGACCCTCTCATCAAACATGGCTGGAAAATCGCTCATTGATTTTCCCATGGATTTCCCCTGTAGGATTTTCCCATCACGAACAGATTGAAATTCCTCCAGCCCATTGTGAGTTACCCTCTGGTAAACTAACATAACTATGGAAAATCACCATTTTCAATGGGAAAATCCACTATTTCTATGGTCATTTTATATTGAAATTCCTCCAGCCCATAGAGTGAGTTACAGCTGGGAAAACTCCCACCGAAATTGCCATGTTTTTTTTAATACCGGTCACCCGGAAGGTCACCGGTTGGACCGTCCGACTGGGATGATCTGCCAAGTTCTTGGAGCGGTCATCATGATGGGTACCCTCTGGTTATGTCAAAATAGCTATTGAAAACGGCCATTTATATCCATTTCTAGTGGATTTTCCCATTGAAAAATGGTGGATCTTTCCATAGCTATGTTAAATTACCAGAGGGTATTGTATTGGGTATGTAAATCTGTTGCATGATATTTATCCATATGTATTATGATGTATCCAAGTTATATATATATATTAGATTATATTAGTTAGATTGTGCAATTGGTATATTGGCATATTTATATAACTTTGACCATCACATTTATACACATATACCCTAACTATGTATTTATACAATTTTATACATATAATATACTAACTATATTCCCATGATGGGATGGATGACCATACCACATATTTTTCTGAAATTTGGACCGTCCCCAGATATCTTCACCTTTCAAAAGGCAGACATCCAGCGTGCCATCTTGGATTGCTGCCCCGCTGCCTCCGAAGGGGTTTGTTTGTTGGTTTATAAACCCATCCTGCTCTGGTTCATCACCATGAACTCTACAGTTATAAGATGTTATAAGCGAGTTCTATATATCCAACCATAGTTATAACTTAACCTAAGTATTTCACCTTAAGTTATAATGGCAATTCCGCATGATTTCAACCATCCTTGGCCACCTCTGCTGAGGACACTTTCCTGGAGAGCTTCTTCGGGCCGGGCATGGCGTTGCACGTGCGCGAGTTCGGCGCCAACATCACGGACGTCGTGGACGACTTCCGCATCAACCTGCACCGATGCTTTGGTACGCCGGGCTCCAGTTGGGGTTTAGCAAGTGAAATATGGTGATTTAACCATCTTTAAGACAGAAACATAGGGGATTTTTAGTTCAAAACATGTAATTAGTTGGTTATAGTTGGTTTTTTGCATATTTATGCTAAGTTGGTTTAGTTAATACCCTCCGGTGTGATCACAGATGGCTAGCTGGGAAATTTGCAACAGAAATGGAGGTTTGAATGGGATCATCGAACTAAATGGGGGATCTATATATACATATATATTTAAATAAGTATAGGCTTATAGGTTAATTCCCATGTTTTGTGGTAGAAATATCAAACCTAACTCTAACTATTTATGTTTATGGTTAATGCAGAAATATCAGTTATAAGTTATAGGTGAATTCTATGATCTATGGTTCATGGTATCAATATGTTTTTTTTGGGGTTTATAAAGCAACAAAAATACCTGCAGGCAGAAGCATCAAAAAGACCCAGCACAATCGGCAACACCGCTGCGGGCCTCGCCAAACCAACTAAGATACTGGGTTACATCAATATGGGGGGTTCCTGAAATAGGGCTACCCCCAAATCATCCAAGTCATTAGACTAGTTTAGTATTGAAAGCCATGGTTGTGGGGACCCCGAATTTTTTTCAGAAACCCCCAAGATGTTAGATAAATTTTCTCAATGAAGATTCCAAAATATATCCCCATCAATCAAATGGACCCCTTGTTTCAAGTTTCAAGATCCCTATTCTGATTCAATCTTTTCTACCGATATTCCAATCAGATGGTTGTTCTTGTATTATTTTATACCCTCCTTTGATTCGGACATTTGGATGTCTACATCATATTACATTATATAATATATAAACATACACATATACATATACATATACATATACACACATATATATATATTGTATGATATTTTATATGATAAATATTCCCATGACCGGTGTATCCCCTCATGACGAATCCCCCCCATGTTGGACACTGACGTTTCAGGTGAAAATGCGGACCTCGTGAAAAAGATGTGGGCCTCGACCATGGAAGTCTTCCGTGCCCAAGCGCAGAAAAGTCTCGACAAGGCCCACCACATTGTCAATGGATTGGTTTAAGGGAAAATCTACAGGAAACCATCGATTTTCCCATTAAATATGGGGTTTTCCTGTAAATTTTTCCTTAAACCAATCCATTGAAATTGAAATGGAACATGGAAAGGAGTTGAAAATTCGGATGTTATATCATCTTCTAAAGATGAAGTATCATACTTAGGACTTAAGACCATGATATGGTATATATATATATATATTCGAACGCATAATGTTGAAGATGGTCATATCGGGTTCTAAATCTAAATCTCCTGTTTTTTTTCAAGTTTTGAGGTGCTATTGAGCTCCCCCCATTTGTAGCTCCTTTAAAAGGGGCCTGTCCTACGACGTACGACGCCCTTTCGGTTTCTGCGCAGAAAGTGGGTGCCTCGGAGAAGAAGGAGGACGACGATCTGCGAAAGACACTGACCTATGATCCTCGTCCCCGGCGGTGACGACGATGATGCGCACAGAGGGGGGTTTCCCATGTTTTCCCTATACGAAAATGGGGGTACCCCGGAACAAAACATCCAAGATTTGACTGGTTTAGTGTTGAAAGCTATGGTTTTGGGGATCCCCCATTTTAAAGAAACCCTCATTTGATTGTCCCATCAGAACTGGGGATAAACATTCAACCCGTATCCATATCCAAAATCTAGTTTGATGTGAGCACAAGGCTACACATTTTCCTGTTCACATGTATCTGTCGGTATATCATATAATTGCCAACCTTGGATCAGTAAACCCCTGGGATGTTTCATTGAGGGGGTTACCACTTTAGCATACTTTAGCAGCAAATGAACTCACTATTTGGGCGGGGGTGCCTCCTAGCTAATCAGGGTTTAGTCTCATCCAGGTTTGACATTGCTGGGAAGGACACACATGTAGTCCAGCAATTTTTTGGACAACCGTTTTGGCCCCGTTGGTTACTCACTAGTAGGGTATCTACCGGGAAGATCTGCGAGTTTTTTTTCCATTCTCAATATCATATTGACTAGCTACTCTATATATATATATAATATAAAGTCAGTATATATTACCCTCTGGTTATTTAACATAGCCATGGAAAATCCCTTATAAATGGTGGTATTAATGGGAAAATCATCTATTTCAATGGGCCATCTATACCATGGCTATGTTAAATAACCAGAGGGTAATAATATATATTAACCATAACTATTTTTTTTTGAGGGCTCCATCTTTGTTTCATATTTGGACTCCGTGGACTCCTTGGCCTCGGCGCGAAGTGGGCTCAGGACATGATGCAGATTCCCCTGGCGTTGTCCAAGTGCGATTTGGACGAGGAGCGGCAGACCATGATGAAGGACCGGCGTTTGCGACGGGTCAGCCTTTTGAAGGGCACGGAAGATGTCGGCCCTGGTAGAGTCAGAGGGTTCTCAACGGGTTTTGATGGAGAGGTGTTGAATGGTGTTGATCTTCTCAACGTTTTTTGGACAAATATATAGCCTTGACATGCCTTGAGTGATTCGTAGAATTCTATCTATTGGTATTGGTATATATATATATATTTGAAATTATGTTTTTCCGAATATCCGATTTGGGATTTGTGAATTCTCATACTTTGCCCGAATGCGGTGGTCCAGGGGTGGTCCAAATTCAAGGGGATTTGACTGGAAAAATGATCCTTTCTCAACCATGGTATGGTGGTATGGACTGGGGCGACATCTGAAACAGAGAAACGCGGACAAAACTCATCACCCAACAGATGGGCTGAAGAATATGTGGTTGGAATTGGGGTGACGCGTCAATGAATTTTTGGGTGTGACATCTTAGGTGTATTCGGCTTTGGTTATGAATTCCGGAAAAGACCCATGTCCATGTACAAGGTGAGGCCCCTCAGTTGTAAGTTGGTTTCTAAACCCATTAGGAATAGTTGTATTCCGCATGAACCGTAGTTAACCAAGTTATAAGTCAACTTAGCTATCTACGGGGCCCCACATTGTATGGTTTATGGTAGATATAACATGATATAACTATAGTTAATGGATGATTTTACCAACCAAAATGGATGAGTTTACTCATCTTGTGACTGTGGTGGATCTTTAACTCCAAGGCTGGGTACTGTACCCACCCCAGGAGAAAAAAACCCCTTGTGGATTGGTGATTACAGGGGGATACAAGGGGGTAATATACTACCATATATATCAATTATATATATATATGCTGGTTTCCTAAACCACGGGGGTACCCCAGTTATCATCCAAGTCATGGTCGTAAGACCAAAAATACTTGGTATTGTAACAACCTTTTTTTGACGACTGAAGACCCCCCCCAGAAACCCCATGTTGAGATGATCCCGTATCCCCTATATTAAATATGATTGGTGATCTTCCCATCACAATCCATCACCCTAAAAAACAAACACACCCCATTTCTATGGTCCCCAAAAATGGTGGAAATTCCTACATCCACCATGGTTTCGTTGAGGGGAAGGGATGGTTCCCATGATATTCCCACAACATCCCCATGATTTTCCTCGGTTTTTCACAGCTGCAGGATGCCTTCCTAGGCCTCAGCGATGGCTCCTTGAGTCTTAGCATCCACACGCCCGGACAGGCCGGAGAAATTTGTCGTCTATAAAAATAGTTATCTCAAAGTCTACAATTAGATATATGACGTATGGTATATAGTTATATATATATAGCCTAATATCATACATATATATACATTACAGTCTATAATTCATAATCTGTAGATCCATAATGATCCATAGCTTTCTTTTTTAAGCAGGAGGTTTGCAATGGCAAGGCACACCGCGTGGCTCATGTGAACATTTTGCTGAAACTTTCGGGATCTCTCTGCATCTAACACCAGTCCCAGAATTGGTTTTCCACAACAAAAAACAACAAAAAACAGCAGGGTGATTTCCATGGTCATTTCCATACTGATCCAGTTTTTGTGGTAGAAACACCATGGTTCCCAGCATCGAAACCCCGTTTCTCTCTGTTCTTAGCGAAACGAAACCAACGGGGTTCTACTCCGCAGGTTTCCAGCTACTCGGTGGAGGATCACCTGGCCAGGACGGCTCCGGCCGATTTTTCTGGGGGTTCAGCCCGGGGATTTTTCTGGGGGATGTATGAACTACGTCGTATGACAGAACAGCTGTTGTTGTTGGATGTAATTATCAATGGATTGGTTTAAGGGAAAATTTACAGGAAAACCCCATATTTAATGGGAAAATCTATGGTTTCCTGTAGATTTTCCCTGAAATCTATCCATTGAAATTAATGATGTAATGATACAATCGGTAATTTGTATCTTTTAACATGGAATCCCCATGAATCCATATATAATATAAGGCAGTCTGTGGGTGTTATCTTGGTTCAAATATCGAGTTGGAGATATTGTAACATGAATCATGTTCAATCACGGTGCGTTTGTGCTTAAACCTTGGTGTTTTCTAGAACACGTGGCACGGCTTATGCAACCAGTGTGTCAGATTTTTGGTGATTTATTCGTTGATTCCCCCAAAAATTCTCCCAAAAAATCCCATTCTAAATCACTATGTTACTACGTTCAAGTCAACCCCTTGAATACCTGAGGGCAGTAGTGACATTGTTTACGCACGGGAAGTTCAGGGTCATAGATGCTTCTGGAACATGATTTCTGATGGTATGTCAGGGGATACAAGACGAAAGGGCCCCTCAACGGCCTCAAAGAAGTGTACAAAAAGCAGTGGGTTTTCTGATGAAAGAAGATCCAACTGATTTGCTTTCTTGTTCCCAAATTGTTCCCAAATTTTCCCACAGTCCCGAACTCAAGTAATTAACTTGCAATAGTTTCAACATGTTTCAACCCCTTTTCCATATTTCCTGGACACTGGTCCCGCAATTTCCTGGCCGCCCGAAGCTTTGAGACGTGGGGTGATCATCGAACAAGGTTCAAAACCTCCTAGTGGTCGATGGTCATCTTGTGTCTGTAGAGCCATTACGTACCGGTTTCAGGTGGATTAAATTGCTTTCCACGTTGGGGAACCACTATGGCATTATGGCGTTGAAAATATCCCTATCCATCTGCTGAATCACCATCTTCCCTGCCCAAAGTTTTCAGTTGATTTCCCCATGTTCAGATAAATTCAACCTATCATGTTGTCGGCTAGGGGCCTATCCCATCAATTATATCCAAATTTCAGGCATCCAAACACAAAGAGTTCCGTACAATGAAAAGAAGTGCGAAATCGCTTGGCAGTGCGCGGCGCAAGAAAGTGAAATTCTGTCATTCTGGAAGGTGTTTTGCAAAATTTGAGGAAAATTCACGGTGCCGATGGAATGTTTTTCCGTGCTATCCCTGCTGAAAGCACACCAGCAGCCTCAGCAGCCGTCAAGGAAAAGAAAGGAGATGAGGCAAATAACGCCTTGGCAAGCTCCTTGTTTGGCGACGTCTAGAGAGATTTCGTGGCGATCCCTGCGCAAAAAGAATTGCGGTTTGCAGATCTTGGCAATCCATCTCCCCGCAATATATTTGGGTTCAGATTATTGCGGTGATACCCCTGGCCTAATGAATGCTCTATTACTTTGCTTTATGGAGAGATATGACAAATATATACGGTGATTAACGTTCATTTACATTAACAACGTATAACAACGTTAATATACTTTATTGTAGGCCTCCAACTAATGCAACCGAACCTTTTAAACTAGTTATATATAGTAGTTATATGATGGTTTCTTTCCCATATCTCAACCATATCAGACAGGTTCGGTTGCATTAGTTGGAGGCCTACAATAAAGATCAATAAAGTATAATATCAATACGCATCCCATATCTACATCCAAAAGATCTCCAATATCTCAACCTATTCTCAACCACCTCACGGCGCCGCCTCACGGCGCCGTTGTAACGGCCAAAAATTCACCGCAGGACGGTGGAGTGCTGGAGGAACATCCAGCAGGACGGCGGCCTTTCCTTCGGCCATGCGCTGGGAAAACTCTGCCAGGACGGGCGGGCATTCGGAAGGGGGTTTTCCAATGGGGGATTCCCAAGACCATGGGTTTACTCAGTCATGGTTTAATGACTTGAAGAAATTTGGGGGTACCCCCCATTTTAGGACAACTCCAATCAAAATATGGGGACATTTACGTGGATATCAGTGATAAATGATGGTTGACTAGCTGTTATACCATCTAAGATTCATTGTGGATGATCACAATCCACTGGGAAATCTGTCTTTCACCAGCCATGTCTGAGCAACGTGGTGAGGTGATATAAGAAAAAAATGCGAATTGAGATGATGTAACCCGAACATCGGAACACAATAGCTGGTTGGTGGTTTGGAACATTTTTCCATATATTCGGAATAATAATCCCAACTGACGAACTCATATTTTTCAGAGGGGTAGGTATACCACCAACCAGATAGGTAATGGGAGTGGAGGTGGGTTCATTGACGTTGCGTGGTTGGAGATTATGAACCTACCTGATTTATTGGAGATCATGACATAACTTGAAACTCTCAAACATCACGCTCTTTTTTTTTCCGCAAAAGAAAAAAGGGAGCTTCTAGAAAGACCGATCAAACACATTTCACAAACTTTCTACCAAACCTTCGAAAACAAAAAACGGACCAACACATTTTGGACAAAAAATTGGAGGGTAACCTCCATGACCATATGGGTGTGTCTGAAAATAGTGTACCCCTAAACCCAATGGTTAATGATCATTATCCCTATTAAATGGCTATAATTGGGAATATACCCTATTTTCAGACAAACCCACATGGACACCTCCATATGGACATCCTCCCAGGGTTTTCGCCCCTGCTGGGAGGATTTAGCCTCGGTGGCCTTCCCACAGAAATACCTGGTGGATGATCTGGGCCGGCTGCGGTTGCGAAGCACGGCCTGGGAGACCCAGGGGAGCCGTTGGACGTGGCGAAAGTGGTGGAGCTTGGAAAACGTGGTGGAAACTCATGCGAAACTCATGTGAAGCTCATATGAAACTCATATGAAACCTGATTGGTCGTTTGGAAGATTTTTTTTATTTTTCCATATATTGGGGATAATCATCCCAATTGACGAGCTCATATTTTTCAAGATGGTTATTGCACCACCAAAAGATGAACTCATGTCATCTAATGTCATCCCCCCGAGAACCTATCCGAAGATCCAAAGATTTGGCCCAGGTGGAGTCGTTGAATGCAGTGATTCCCTTGGGTCTTGCCTTCAAAGGTCTTCGGGAGGCGGGGAAGCCATGGGGAGCCCCCGGGACACAGCTCTGTTGATTGGTTCAACGCTTCAATAACTCTTCAACCATAGCTTTATGAGGGATTGCTATGGTTACCGGTGCCCAGCCCAGCTATGTGGGTTTACAGCCCCATCGACCTATAGTTATGTGATGTTATGTGATGATCGTTTTCGCCAGCCTGGTGAATTGAGTTCTAAACCAACGTAGCGAACCCTGCCAGAGCCTGGGAGTTCAGTTGGATCACAACGAAGCCAGATCCACTTGAGATGCCAGCATGAGTGTAGTAGCTTTCAAGTGGTGGAGCGGTGAACGGAACTTATGAAATGGGGATCCAAGCTACTGAGCATTTCCCAACCATACGATGTGTAGGCCGGAAACTGGATGTAAAGTCATGTAAAATAGGGTGGGGTCCGTCATTTTTGGCAACCTAAAAGCAAGGTTAGACGTTGCATGAACAGCCTCATTCTTGGTCTGGACTTCGAAACCAAACATAAATTGGATTCCTCAGCCGCAAGATACCCTCTCGTAAACTAACATAGCTTTTGAAAAGAGCCATTTATAGTTGATTTACCCATTAAAAAAATGGTGATTTTCCATAGTGGTTTGTATGTTTACCAGGCCGGGTACTTCCTTCTGTTCTTTCTGTTTTCGCCTACGGTGGCTGGAACTGTTGCGTTTCGTTCACTTGCCATGGGCTGATCGACCAAAGTGACTTCGAGATGGTGAGCTCGGTTTATCAAAAGCCAGCAAGTGACTTAACTCCCGGACTGAATGCTCCATATATCATCATATATCTACATTGTACATCTGTATATATATATATATGATATGATATGATATGATATGATATGATATATGATATATGATATATGATATATGATATATGATATATGATATGATATGCATATATGCATGTACAATGTGTACAGAGTTCCTAAATTTTCATGTGCATCAAATAAACTGGTCTACATGCCATATGTTGATATATGTTGATATATGTTGATCATTAGGACATCCCCTTTTTTGGGGGTTTCCTCACCAAGGGTCGTGCTTCACAGGTCTTCACCTGCATCTGTTGTGGCAGCCTGGCCTTCGTCTCCTTGCGGCGCTACTGCTTGGGACGGACGGCTTCACCTCGGCAGGAGGCTGTGAGTCACGGTAGGAAGTCAGGTCAGGGTAGAACGGTAGGAAAAACCCTCCCAATTTCACCAGAAATAGATGGTATAAAGAATTCCCACATGGGTGGTTTATGGATGTTTATGGTTTACTATGGTTTACCCCCAGATTTTTTGGGTTCCATAGGAACATGATCGACTTCAGGCGGGCTTTCCATATGGCCATATGTCAAATTCTTTGGATACTGTAAAGAATGACCATTTTTTGTTCTGGAATAAGAAGACCAAGGGAACTTAGTAACCATTAGTAACCAGACCTATTCGCCAATTACCTGTATGGTAGGTTGCAAACCTGGTTCGAAATGGCTGCGTCCAAAAGTGGGCGATACCACGATACCTGGCACTTTTCTACAGGAACTATGATAACTATGATCATGACGCATCTTTTGTTTCCCCCTAAATATTCAGACAACGCCCAATGAACAAGTTAGTATGGCTAAGTACTGTCACCCACTGAGGTCCCATGACGTCCTTATTAAGATGAACCAATAGGCACAGGTTGCCATGCACCAAGATTGTTGGCTGCAGGTTGCCACTGGGAAAACCTGAGATTCCAACGAGTAGTTTAGTAGCCAAAACTCTTCTGAACATCCGCTAGACTGGCATTTGATAGGACTTGATAAGGCTAATTTTCATATTTTTCATGATCCAATACTGACATTATCTGTGTCCTCTATTGTCCTCTAGAAATGGGCTTTTTGCCCAGCAAAAACTCACCAAAACCACGATACCACGATACGTGGAGATGGATCAAAATTCAATTGTACCATCATAGTCAGTGTTCCTGATACATAATGTATATATATATATAATATAATATAATATAATATAATATAATATAATATGTATGCATATATATATAATATGATATGTACGCATATATATATATTATACATATATGTATTTATTTCGTCATCTAAATCACATTTATCTTCCCGCCATGTTAACTGATGCGTTACTTCCCTCGCTAGGGCAAGCTAAAGAACATTCAGAGATGCTTCCAGGTAATACCCAGAATTCCCGGTGGATTGAGATTTTCTCCATTTTCTCCCAGTATCTGGATGTATCTGGCATATCTCCGAACGCTTCAGAACAAAGTTTTGAGGCTTGAAATGGTTGAAAGTTAGCTTCATAGATTTGTAGAGTAGCATCTCTTGTTTTTCACGTACACTTTAACGTTTTGACGCCATGTCGCCATGTCATGAATTGACACCAAGAGATTTATACCGGTGGCAGGGCGATGAGGAGATACGATTCCTGGCGGTGGATCCCGAGTGATGCTTGCGTGATGCTTGCTGAACATGTTTTCACGATGCCTTTCCCAGCTAGGAACCCTAATCTTTGAGGATTTTCCAGATTTCCCAGCTGATTTTCGCTGATTTTCCAAAGGTGGGTCATGATGGTCATGTGGGTAATTCCCAGTGCCATTTGCACCAATTCCCCAGGAAAATCACCATTTTTTTTTTGGTGGTATAAAAATGTACAGTATAAACCATTACAAACCATTATCACGCTGTTCCCTCAGTGGTATGACAAACCTAGGTCCTAGGTGAACTGGACACAGAACGACTTGCAGTAGCTAGGCCGAAAGACAGCCACGCGGCTGGTGCGCAGTTTCGTCGTTTCGCGGTTTCGACGCCCAAAGAGATGATCGAAGACTGAACTGAGGTTCCCTCTGGATGGATTTATGAAATGGTTACCCTCTGGTTATGACTCACAGTTCACCATGGAAAGATCCACCATGCTATTAAGTTCGGTAAACCATCTATTTCGATTAGGGCCATGGCTTCCATGGCTATGTTAGTCATAACCAGAGGGTATCTGGTTGGTGGTTTGGAACATGAATTTTATTTTCCATTTCATATATGGGTTGTCATCCGGAACCCATTGACGAACTCATATTTTTCAGAGGGGCAGGTATACCACCAACCAGTTATATTGGGAGGTTTCCTGAAATGGAGGTACCCCAATAGCTGGCTGGATGGTTTATTTCATGGAGAATCCGTCTATAAATGGATGATAACTAGGGGTACCCCCCATTTACGGAAACCTCCCAATATGAAATTTGCCCCTAATATTTCAACAAGGAGGTAATTGATGTAAATTAGGAGGATGCCTGGAAAGCGGCACACCAGCGCGTTGCTTGCTCCTTTCCACAACGGTCAAAGCACCGCAAAACACATCAGCCTCTGCTCCTCGGCAGCTTTACGAACCTCAATGACAAACGGCCACCTTCCAAAGACAGAAACGTCTCGAGTTGGGATTCAAGTTTTGTGTTAGGTCAAGAGACCGATTGAATCAATGCGATTCAACATCACCTATTCATACGATTTCATACCTATTCCACTGCTTAATTGCATAATTTGAGTTTCCAATTTGAGCCTCCACGCCGGAATTTTGAGTGTATTTCCCGGGTTCAGAAGTATCTGATTTTTTTTCCTTTTTCCCGAATGTGTAGCAAGGGTTCCCGTTTCACTCTGGGGGTCTGGGGGTTGAGGGTGTGTTCGCTCGACGTTGCCTAACCGTTCGCAACCGTTCGCAACCGTTCGCGCGATCCCCGTATGGCCGTGCCTATGGTAAGTTCTGCAGAAGGGGTCATTTTTGGAGGTTTCAAACGTCGTGTTGCTTCGTTTCGAGTGGTAGGCGTGGCACTTCGTGACATTCAGACGTGTTTTGTAACGTGTCAAAAGTCGTTTTGTGTGGCAGGCGCAATACTTTTGCGACGGTTTCGCAAGATAAGTTGCAGATAGTTGCAGTTTTTCGTGGCAGGCGCAGCACTTTGGACGTGTCCAGCGTCATTTTGCATGGCGGGCGCAACACTTTAGACGTGTCGTGTTGCGTGTTTTGTGCGAATCGCATTGTCAGGGCTGCGTCAAGCATGGCGTTTTGTGAGATGTGATGAAAATTGACGGAAGCCTCGCACGAAACATCGATTTTGAGGTAGCAAATTTAGAGGGTCTAAGGAAAACTCTTGGGAAAACATCGATTTTGAAGCTACAAAGTGTCAAAATTGGAGGAAGTCTCGCACGAAATGCCCGTTTTGATGCTCCCACGTCTGGTCTCGAGTCTCTGGTTTTCCTGTGGCCTCGCCGTGTCAATGGGGGAAGCTGCAAAACCTCTCCTTTTCGAAGGTTTCCAGGCAGGTTGTCATGTCGTTTTGCGTGGCAGGCCTGGCACATTGTGACATTCCAACCTGTTTGATAATGTGGTGTGGCAGGCGCAATACTTTTGCATCCTTCTCACAAGATGAGTTGCAGTTTTCGTGGCAGGCGCAGCATTTTGGAGATCTCTGTCGTCATTTTGCGTGGCAAGCGTAGCACCTCAGACGTGTCGCATTGCGTGCTCTATACACTCCACACTCTACACTCCACACGCCACCCTTTACACTTCACACTCCACACTTTACATTCCACACTTTACACACTACACTCCACACTCTACACTTTACACTCCACACTTTACACTCCACACTTTACACTCTACACTTTACATTCTACACTTTACACTCCACACTCTACACTCCACACTCCACACTTTACACTCCACACTTTACACTTTACACTCCACACTGTGCACTCCACACTTTCCACTTTACACTTCACACTCCACACTTTACACTCCACACTTTACACTACACACTGTACACTCCACACTTTACACTTTGCACTTTACACTTCACACTCCACACTCTACACTCCACACTTTACACTCTACACTTTACATTCTACACTTTACACTCCACACTCTACACTCCACACTCCACACTTCACCCTCCACACTCTACACTCGACACTTTACACTTTACACTCCACACTCTACACTTTACACTCTACACTTTACACTCTACACTCGACACTGCACACTTTACACTTCAGACTCCGCACTCTAGACTTTACACTCCACACTCCACACTCCACACTTTACACTCCACACTTTGCACTGTACACTCCACACTCTACACTTTACACTCCACACTTTACACTCCACACTTTACACTCCACACTCCACACTTTACATTCCACACTCCACACTCTACACTCCACACTCCACACTTTGCACTTTACACTCCACACTCCATACTTTGCACTCCGCACTCCACACTTCACACTCCACACTTTACACTTCAGACTCCGCACTCTACACTTTACACTCCTCACTCCACACTCCACACTTTACACTCCACACTTTGCACTGTACACTCCACACTCCACACCATACACTCAATACTTTACACTTTACACTTTACACTCCTCACTCTACACTTTACACTCCACACTTTGCACTGTACACTCCACACTCCACACCTTACACTCAATACTTTACACTTTACACTTTACACTCCTCACTCCACACTCTACACTTTACACTCCACACTCCACACTTTACACTCCACACTTTGCACTGTACACTCCACACTCTACACTTTACACTCCACACTTTACACTCCACACTTTACACTCCACACTCCACACTTTACACTTTACACTCCGCACTCCACACTTCACACTGTACACTCCACACCTTACACTCAATACTTTACACTTCACACTCCTCACTCCACACTTTACACTCCACACTCCAAACCAAACTTTACACTCCACACTCTACACTCCACACTCTACACTGCGCTCCACACTTTACACTCCATACTTTACACTCCAGACTCTACACTCCACACTCCACACTTAGCACGCCACCTTCTTCCATTTTTCCACAGTCTACGGTGCACTGGGATGGTAACAGGGTAAAAAGGTACACGACTGTTCAAATAAACTGTTTCACAAAAGTGTTCTACGTGACTGCATATCCATGTGTTTCGACATCTGTACCATTAACATACGTGTGAGCATTCGGGTTCGTGGGCTGCATCTTGTTTATTCTTGGTGTTTTGCACAATTCAATTGATTCCCCACAAACATGGGAAAAATCTGTGAGTTGGGTAGTCTTGAATTTGACTGCCAACTTATCAGACTTCTATAATATGGTGGAGAGCGGTGGCTGTCACAGGGTCATGGAATCTTCCCAGCCCAGCAACGCGCGAATCGGCGTAAATACTAGAGCTGCTGGGAGCTGACCAAAAGGAGAAAAGGGAACACAACATGATATTCCCTTCCATCTAATGCAACATTTGAACA